TAATAGATTTTAGTAGTTTTGTATGTATATTATGAAGGTGCTTTTTTTAGTTTTTAATTGGGGTACTTAAATGGGGCGCCTCGAAAGTGTGGTTTACAGGCTTGGTCGCGGATAGTTTTGTTTTCTGTCTTTTTATTTTAAGAACACCTTATGTGTAGAAAAGAATAGGTGAATTGCAATTATTTAATGTTAAGAAATATTAATCTGGCCGAGCTTTAAAGCGATGGACTGCTAACCTCAAAAGTCTCGAGTTCGGATCCCGGGCTCAAGTCCGTAGGTCGTCCCTGAGTCCACCCAGCTCTGATGGGTACCTAACTAACGTTAGGATTACAAAGTCGGCTGGACATAGTGCTGACCACACAATTGCTTAGTCAATAAAACAGATGAACTTTATCTGCCTCATATATCTTTGTCACGAACAGGGGGGGGACTATTGTCAGAATGACCTAAAATATTGATATCTACTAATAGGAATGAAAAATCTGAAAAATCCCATAAAATACAATTATTTTAAATAATCCATTTCGTATGTATTTATCTTAGGATACATAATTCCAAAGCAAATTATTGAGGAAGTAATAGAGCACTCGAATATATATTTAAGATCTCACAATAGAAACATTAGCTCTAAATGTAGACGTTTTGAGTTAGAGAGTAGGAAACAGATTGTAGATAAATAGCAATATGTATCCGTTTATTGAACATCATTCATCCAGCTTAATAATTGAACAGTAGGTCTCAACAAGTACATTGATTCCATTTGTTATCTTTAGTATGCATATGTTTTGTCTGGGTTTTTAAAAATAATTTAATGATATGGCGCACAATTTAAGTAGATACCAATATTTATCCCAATTATGCGTAAATTCAACCAAAACACATATCCAGACAGACAGTAGGTAATCCAAAGCAAACTTAGATATTAGCAGCTGCCAGAGAATCAGAGGCAGCCGGAATGTCGTGGACCCAACTTGGAGGAATCACACAAAACTGAGCACGACGTGAAGTTGCGTCCCTTTCAAGGACTACACTAGAAGGGCGATAATGAAGACGTATATTTAGACGGCCTCGTTTTAATTATTTTACATCAATGTACAAATATCTGGAAAGTGCATGACGGTTGTGATAATTATTGTATGCATACGGCCTCTTTCTCTATCTCCCCCCCCCCCCACTCCACTTAAGGTAATACGCTTCTCTTACTTCTATTCTAGGCAATAGGTTTATTGTTAATATGAAGCAAGTATTTAGGTTGTCGCCCTTCATTATATTGAACACACTTTGTTCGATTATTTTGATGCGAGCACACGTCCCTCCCAGCAATACCATTTCGATATCGCCTGATTTTTTTTGTATATTATCAAGACAAAACCCTACGTTGTGTTTATACTAGTTGTTCTAATATTTGATGTCAAAGTCTCGTTTGATCGAATCCGCTCTATCACCACAGGTCCCGCAATGCCGAAGCATTTTAAAAATCAGAACTACAAGACCATCAAGAAACAATGCCTCGCCAAGGGCATTCTCTTCGAGGACCCGGAGTTTCAGGCATCCAACAAATCTTTGTTTTTCTCCAAGGTGGATGGCGCCATAGAGTGGAGGAGGCCAAAGGTAAGGATGTTTGTGTGTGAGGTGGTGTTAAATGGTTATATATGTGTGTTTATAGCGCAGTTTTGTAAGGGGTTCTGCTTCAGGCTTTTTCAATTAAATAACCATTGTACAACTCATATATATATATATATATATATATATATATATATATATATATATATATATATATATATATATATATATATATATATATATATATATATATGTATGTATATATATATGTATATATATATGTATATATATATGTATATATATATATATGTATATATATATATATATATATATATATATATATATATATATATATATATATATATATATATATATATATATATATATATATAGTCGTATGTAATATCGGTGCAGTGAAATTGTTTATAACATTGTTTTCCAGCTGGTATCGCTATGTGGGCTAGGCTTAGTGTTAAGCTTAGAATTAAGTTAAGAACTTAAACTAGGGTGATGCTTGATTTAAGTCTGTAGTTGGGGCTAATGTTAAGACAAGCTGGATTAAGGATTAGGCTACATAATGTACAACAGTCTCGTCGATCGATGAAGAGTAAGTTATACAATAACTATCAAACTTGCTATGTCTTGTTTTCATCAGGACATAGTGTAAGTTATACCAAAACGTAACGTTCGCTCCTAACAGTTAGTATGCAGTTTAAACAGTTTTTATGTTTATTGACCTCTGTAGTACAGATGAAGTAGAGTTCATATGTTTCTTGACCTCTACATTTAAAGGGATGGTAAGGGCACCATTAAGTAGACCGAATTTACTGTCCACCAAATTGAGTCACGTACCCATTATAGCTGGGTGGACTCAGGGACGTCCTACAGTCCTAAGACAGGACCGAGATCTGAACCTTCGTGTCAACAGTCGAAAGCTCTACCATTCGACCATGGCGTCGATCACAAGTTGCATTATTTGCCACATTTTCAATACATTACATTACTAGGTGAGCACATTCAGGAACAAAGCAGCAGAAGCTAGGTAGACGGTCCATATATGGCGCATAACATTTTGAGACGTAATACTTAATTATGTTGGAAGAGATATCATACGATAGTAGTAATACAGTTACAAAGAAGAATAAGAAACAAAAAATAATACTAACGAAAATCAAGATTTTTTTTTGTTCTGAACAACCCATTTTACACACGACACACGCAAACACACACACACACACACACACACACTAAACACGAAACATTCGAGTATAACCGATTAACCAACAAAAATGAAATACAAATCGTAGGCTACTTAATAAACAGCCGAATTCTTTTCTTTAAAAAAAAAGACACAGGAAAATAAAAAAATACTTGAACTAAAATCATTTAGCTACCTCGTCCCCAACTATATTACTTTATAGCAGTCTTAAGTGTATCGATCTGTACGCGAAAGAGTTAAGGGTCTTACGAATTGACGCAGACCGTCTAGTCTACATAGGGTAAGCCCGCAATAAAGAGAGTGCCAGTAACAACGCAATGATCCTTGCTGGCTAGTCGCGAGGGTGGTATGCAGCTAGGAGGTCACTTGAGAAGGAGGAAGATGAAAGAAATCTCTGCAAGAGTGCCATTGACAGGGCCGTGGTTTAGGGCAGTGGTTCTCAAACCGTGGTCGGCAGAGGGACTCAGTTCAGTGATTCCGTTTAAGATGGGTTTTTCGAATATATTGGGATATATAGTAAACACATTTGACTAGCATTATTCAAACTATATATATATATATATATATATATATATATATATATATATATATATATATATATATATATATATATATATATATATATATATATATATATATATATATTACTCAAACTATATATATATATATATATATATATATATATATATATATATATATATATATATATATATATATATATGAATTATTATATTGATATAAATAATATATATACATGTTCATCAATATTCTACACATCAATATATATTAAGCACCATAATATATATATATATATAAACATAAGTTTGTAGAAATATATATTAATATATATATATATATATATATATATATATATATATATATATATATATATATATATATATATACATACACATATACATTATACATATATATATATACATATATATATATATAATATTTAATAATATATTTACATCATATACGTATAGGTTTTTAAGTTTTATTTGATGTTATCAATATCCGGATGCAGCATATAAACCTTCCTTAGCCACAAGATGGGGAAGTAGCCAAGAACTGATAGACCCGCTCGTATTTTCAATCGCTACACTAATCGATCTATTAATCGATCAGGATTCGATCTATCAGCTCTTTTTTTACCCTTTAAAAGGTGTCGCCTTTTGATTCGTTTCCTTTTCTTCTCCTTTCTAACAACCACTTTCGTGAATGAACTTCCATTTATTGAAATTTAAAAAAAAAAAAAACACGCAAAGGCGTAGCCTCTAACAGAAGAACTCTGATACAAGAACAAGTCCATAAAAAAAATGTCAGTTAGAGATTGTGTAGTATATTGAACCTATATGTCAATCTTTCAGCGATAGTCGTCGATTTCTTTTCGGCACCTGTAACTAGTTTTGTTGTGTTTGGTGTGTGTGTTTGTGTGTGTGTGGGGGGGGGGTATTTTATGTGAAATCTTGTTTATAAATGGCGTTTATATGCTACGATCTTTGATTGCGCATAATATGTGTATGCGCAGGAGGTGGGTGGTTTGTTACATGTCTCTGTGAATTAGAAGAAAAAAACTGATTGTTATACTATATGTTTGTGGTATTCGTGGTCAATAGATTTTTACAAGTATATTTGAGTTGAGGGACTGTAATGCTAATCATATATATTTAAATTTTCTTATTTGTTCCACGGTAAAAAATTGCAAACAAATCGTAAATTTAGGGAAAATTAACAAAACCGATATCCTGTCTCACTTATGACTGTAATAAAAACAAATTAGATGTGTGGTATTTATATTATATTATATATATATATATATATATATATATATATATATATATATATATATATATATATATATATATGTACATACATATTAGTATTTGTTTAATTGAGCCGTAACGAGCTCGCTTTACAAGTTTTACTGACTACAAACAGAGTAAGCTATAAACGCTGAATTTATTTTTTTAAGTGCAACACAGTATTGTCTCCCCTTTCGATAAGTCCATTTGTCTTACTTTCAAGTACCTTCAGCTGATACAGGATACAAAACGATTAAAGGGGATGAATCTAAATCCACTGGTTTTGTTGCAGCTAATGGAAGTAGATTTGAACTGAATGATTGCATTCGGAGTCGGCCGTAGCGTGGTTTTATGTAAAAAAAAATATATTTAGACTTGCTATGTTGGTTGATTTCGCAGTAATAAATTCTTGGGTCTATATAATCATAACTAAGATTTTAACTCTCTCTCTCTCTCTCTCTCTCTCCCTCTCTCTCTCTCTCTCTCTCAAATCAAATTAATAGGTTTTTGATGAACTTTTCAAAATTTGAAAAAACAAGTTAATTAAAAAGTCTAGTGACATTTAAGCGCAATTTCCTTATGTTATCTAAAAATAGCTCTGTCGTAGCGTAAATCAAGAGCAGGGTTAGTAAGACCATTGGTTAAAATACATGTTTTATTTACAATATAGTTACATGACTAAAAACCATTGCGCGCCTAGCTACTGAACGTGATGACGCAGCCATTGAACGTGATGGCGCCGCTATTGAACGTGATGACGCGTGTGGTGTGGTTGGAAAAAATGCCTACTAATTCGGTCAAAATTTTAATTAATTCAAAAAAATTTTTGTGACCGAACGAAAGGATATTTTTGAAAACTTTCTTCGGCAATATTGTTCTAAATTATGGCAGGAATCGATTGGTACATGTTTCAAGTCGCTAAGTTGTCTGGTTGCCGAGATATGGGCAAAAAACTGCATTTTTTCGAGGTTTTTTGGCTTTTCCGGGAAATCCATGAAAGAAACCCGGAATTTTTATGGCCTATGCTCATCCTCGTAACTTACTTAACATAATTGCTTTTGGAACTAGTCATCGATATTGCTTCGTTGAGGAGGAGATACGACTTAAAGCTGCGGACACACATTCATACATTCATCCATCCAGAAATGACGGGTTAATAAACGCAATTCTCCAGAATGGAAATTGCGCTAAAAATGAAAACGATAGTCATTATCTAAATAAACCATCTTACAAGAAATACAAGTACATAATCAGAAAACAAAAAGTATTACTTTTGTAAATCTATATCAGTCCTCATTAGCCGAGGATAAAAAAAATATTATTCTAAAGTGAACATGGCAATATAAACTGTCGCTGGAAATTACATTCTTGAAGCAATTTAATAAATAAAATCTTTGAAAATTTAAAACTAGCGATGTCGTTCATATGTTATCGGCAATGTTGTTCCTCTTCTACCCAGGAACTGTGTAAGGCACCACGGCTCCTCGTGGACGGGGCGACGTGTAATGACCTTGTGAACGGGGAGATCAAAAGTGTCTGGTTCATTACAGCCTGCACGGCCCTGGCTCATGAGCCCAAACTGTGGAATAAGGTAAAAGGGCTTGTTTTGTAGGTGATGGGTGGGGGCGGGTGATATGGGGTGGAATCCACGGGGCTATCTTTGTTGGGGGTGGGTAGGGGGGTGGTATGGCGTGAAATACACTGGGCTATATTTGTTATTAGAGTACAGTGATGGGGTGGGGGTATGTGGAGAATGCAAGGGGCCACTTTATTGTGTTGGTAGGTGGGAATTGATAGTATGTGGTGGAAAGCATGGGGCTATCTTTGTTGCTAAAGTACAGTGGGGGAGGGGGAATTATGAAGAATGCACATGACTATCTTTGTTGCTGGAATCGCGGCGAAAGGGGGGGGGGTATATAGAGAATTTAATGGTAGGTAATGTGGACAAGATGAGTTATATTATAGCAGTGGTATCATTGTAAGGTGTCACCTGTGCTGTGCGGTACTTGTGGTGTCAACCCGATACACACATACATACACACACGCGCACTCACACGCATATATAAATGTATATATATATATATATATATATATATATATATATATATATATATATATATATATATATATATATATATATATATATATATACGTATATATATATGTACGTATATATATATATATATATATATATATATATATATATATATATATATATATATATATATATATATATATATATATATGTGTACGTATATAATGATCTGACGACGACATGGTGGTGACACCGAAATGTCCATATTAAATTATTAATGACACGCACACACTCACATTTATATATACATTTACATTTATATATATAATACATCTTGTATTATGTATTTCGCGACTGCAAATCATACCCAATCGTGCTGCAGGTCTTCCCCGATGTCAAGTCCCAGGAGTACGATGACAAGAATCCTTACGCCGGAATTTTCCGGTTCCAGTTCTGGAGGTTCGGAGAGTGGATCGAGGTGGTCATAGACGACCGGTTGCCCACCAAAGATGGACAGTTGATATTTTTACATTCCAAGGACAGAAACGAGTTTTGGTCGGCACTCTTCGAAAAAGCTTACGCCAAGTGAGTTGAGGTTTAGTGGAGTGGTTTGTGTGACAGGCGGAGTGGATGTGTGTGGGTTGACGTGTGTGTGTGGGTAGGACTATATGAGGTGGTGTCATATCAGTTGGAGTAGGATTATATCAAAAGTTATGGGATTACATGAGGTGGTGTAGGATTATATGAGGTGGTGTAGGATTTGAGGTAGTATAGGATTATATGAGATGTTGTAGCGGATTATATGAGATGGTGTAGGATTATATAGGGTGGTGTAGGATTATATCATTTGGTTATGCGTATATCATGTAGTGTAGGACTATATCATGTGTTGTGGGATTATATAAGGTGGTATAGAATTCTATGAGATGGTGTCGTATTAGGCGGTATATGATTATATAAGGTGGTGTAGTTTATATCATGTAGGATTATATCATGTAGTGTAGGATTATATGAGGTGGTGTAGGAAAATATAATGTGTTATTTGATTATATGAGGTGTTGGATTATTTGAGGTGGTTTAGGATTATATCACGAGTTGTTCGATTGTATGAGGTGGTATAGAATTCTATGAGGTGGTGTAGGGTTATCATTTGGTGTAGGATTATATAATGTGTTATGGGATTATATGAGGTGTTGTAGGATTATATGAGGTGGTGTATTAATCTATAAGGTGGTGTAGGATTATATTATGTAGTGTTGGGTTATATCATGTGGTGTATTATTATATGAGGTGGTGTGGGTGCGTGTGCGTGTATGATCAAACGATGCGATGTGTGTGCGTGTAGTATAACGTGGGGCGGTCAGTGCGTGTGTGTGGATATAGAATCCCATGGCTTGTGGCTGTATGTGCATCTAGGATCAGAAAGACCCGTGTGGGTGTATAGATCAGGATCACCCAAAAACTGAAGAGTTGCAGTTCGATTCTGTCGGACTTGAGTTCGTAGCTCGTGCTCGAGTTCACTCAGCTATAATGTGTTCCTAGCTGGAGTTGGCAAAAAACAATTACCGATATAAACTTCACCACTCAACCGCTTTGTGTGTTAAGATTTTTTTTTAAAATTCCAATAAACTCTACTCCATCTATCATAAGAACCATGACGTCCTATACGAGCACTAAAATATGTGTCATATGTAATTATTTAAAAAGCTGCTGTAGTTTGACATACGTCACTCATACTGGTAGTGTTATCAAGTGTTTTAAAAAGTTGGAGCGCTACCGATCCATTACACAGGTGAATACACGGGCGAATAAACAGATCAATAAAACTTTGGTACCATTAAACCCAGTCCCGGCTCGGCATGGTACTGACGATATACTCGCTCCAGGTTCTAGCTAGCCAGAGACTACTGGTTTTAGTTAGTCAGAGATTACTTGTTCTAGCTAGAGATTCCTGATTCTATCCAGAGGTTCCTGGTTCTAGCTAGACAAAGATTTCTGGTTCTAGTCGGAGATTCCTGGTTCTATCAAGAGGTTCCTGGTTCTAGCTAACCAGAGATTCCTGATTGTAGACAGAAGTTCCTGGTTCTAGCTAGCCAAAGATTATTGGTTCTAGAAAGAGGTCCCTGGTTCTAGACAGAGGTTCCTGGTTCTAGCTAACCAGAGATTCCTGATTGTAGACAGAGGTTCCTGGTTCTAGCTAAACAGAGATTCCTAGTTCTAGACAGGTTCCTGGTTCTAGACTATTCCTGATTCTAGACAGAGATTCCTGCTTGTAGACAGAGATTCCTGGTTCTAGCTAGCCAGACATTAATTGTTCTAGACAGAGATTACTGGTTCTAGACAGAGATTCCTGGTTCTAGACAGAGATTTCTGATTCTAGCTAGAGATTCTTGGTTCTAGCTAGCCAGAGATTCCTGGTTCTAGACGGCGATTCTTGATTCTAGACAGAGATTCCTGGTTCTAGCTAGCCAAAGATTATTGGTTCTAGAAAGAGGTCCCTGGTTCTAGACAGTGGTTCATGGCTCTAGCTAGCCAGAGATTCTTGGTTCTAGCCATAAGCTCCTGATTGTAGCCAGTTTAGTCATTCTATCCAGAGGTTATTGCTTCTAGCCAGAGATTCCTCTTCTAGTTAGAGGTTTCTGATTCTATCCGTGAAATTATTTAACTCCACCTTAAAACTCTTCTTATCGTTGTAAATAAGCTCTAAAATTAGATTGAAATTTAGCGCTCATGTTATCTAGACTGACGCTTTAACGTACACACAAACACAAGCTAGAACAAGCTAGATTTGTTTTTAAGTAACCAGGTCTAATTTCAATCTGGTAGCGTAGATTTGCTGGGTTTTTTTCTAACTGCTTTAGAGGTTTTCAAATTGTAGTTCAAGATGGCATTTAAAAATGATCGAGCAACACTAAGACATTTTATTTTCATAACACCACAAAGCTAAACACATGTTCGTCTTCCATGAATCGTGACATAATACATACGTATATAGGGGAATTTTATTATTTTGTTATACTGTTATATGGTGTATGGAGTGGTATGGAGCAACGTTACATAAGTAATAGTCTTCTTCTTCTTTTTCTTCGTTCTTAATTATTAGTGTTGAAGGGGATCGAGAATTATCTGCCAGTGCGTTGAACTCGAGACTTAGTTCAAATTTATCAACCATGAGCTTTTTTTGCCGACTCGACCACGCCTCCAACACAATTAAGCGTTACGTGTCAACTGGTTATGCGCCATTGAGGCCAATGACTCCGATTTCAGCTTGCTTTTCTTTTTGGATTTGCTTCCATAGCCTTTGTCCAACCAAGAACAAACTACAAGGCAGCAGTTGTATAATTTTGGAGTTGTCTCTCCTAGAGGAGTGGCTGTCCCCAGCTAACGAGCCTCATCTGCCCACGGGTTCGAACTCGAGACTTTTCGGTTTAGCAAACATGAGCTTTACCGACTCGACCACGCCGATTCAGTGTTGTTCAGTGTGTTGTTACACGAGGTATTAGAGTTCGCCATTTGTGTTGTGGGCATTTTACATTATGCTCTGTAAATTAGGTGGGTAGGGGGTTCGTCCATAAAAGACATCACACTGCTAGATGGGTATAGGGGAATTCGTAATTTTGTATCTGTGTGACAAGGGGGAACGAGGGCGATGAGGGGTAAGGGTCAGAAAGCCTGACGACGCACTTATACAGCTTAAAACGTAATGTTATAAACTGTGATTTAGCCTTTATTTCACTAATTTAAAAAAAATGGTTATATATTAATAAACTGATGTTTTTAAAAGCAAAATTTCAATTTTGAGGAGGTTTATAGGCTGAGATGTGACGTCTGTTTTGGGTGAGGCGTGGCTTTTTGTGATGATGTGTGACAATATGAGGGAGTAAAAGCGTCACGAAAAAATGACGGTGTTTATAGATTACCGCCTAGGTCAAAGAAAAATATTTTTTGATAATATATAATATAATCATAATACACTAACTAAAGTACCTCAATTCCTCCATTGCGATTATAAATACTTTATAACGTTAACTTGATGAAAGAAGTACTCGAATTTCGGTAACAGCTACAAATATGAACCTGATTTTTTTTTTAAATTAGTTAATTTACGAGTAATTCATAGGATTACTTTCTATGATCACTAATTATGTAGATAAATGTGTTTAGATATTTGAATTCTCAGAAAATAAATATTGTTTTTATATTTTGTTTGATTAAATGATTTTTTAATCAGATTGTTCGGTGATTATGAATCGATGAGCACAGGCCATCCATCAGATGCTTTAGTAGATTTTACAGGTGAGTTTACATGTTACAGGTAAATAAGGATTTTACAGGGGAGTTTACATGTTACAGGTAAATGTGGATTTTACAGGTGAGTTTACATGTTCCAGTTAAATGTGGATTTTACAGGTGAGTTTAAATTTTAGAGGTACATTGGATTTTACAGGTGAGTTTAAATGTTAGAGGTAAATGTGGATTTTGCAGGTAGGTATACGTTTGACAGGTGACTATACATGTTACAAGTAAATGAAGTTTTGCAGGTTGGCTTTTTATTGGAGAAGATAGTGTAGATTTTACAGGTGGAGTAGATTTTAAGAGTGGTAATACATATTATACTTTTTTATTGGTGAGTATTCATTTTACAGGTGAATGTAGATTGTATAGGTCGGTATAAATTGTACAGGTGGGTGTACATTTTACAGGCGCGTGTAAATTTTACGGGTGTGTGTAAATTTTACAGATGAGTGTACAGATTACAGGTAAAAGTAGATTGTATAGGTCGTTATAAATTGTACAGGTGATGTAGGTTTTACAGGGTGGTATAATTTATAGGTAAATGTAGATTTTACATGGGTGTAGCGTTTGAAGGTAAGTCTAGATTTTACAGGTGGGTGTAGATTTTACTGCGGAGAATACAGTTTATAGGTAGATGTAGATTTTATATGGGTTTACATTTTACAGGTAAGTTCTAGATTTTACAGTTGCGTAAAGATGTTAATGGTACCAACATTATATAATAATCAATATTGATCCTTTATTAATTAGCTTTTGCATTTTCCTTCATTATCCTACCCATGCATTCCATCCAACAGGTGGGCTATCTGAAAAACTGGACCTGAAGACTCAATATAATTTCACAAACCCGGAAGTCAAGTAAGTTACAACGGCAGTCAGAGTTTTAACGTCGGGTGGTGCTTGTCTTGGTCGCCGTCGTCCACAAATGACGTGTTGCCTATTTGCGAAAGCCTCTCTCCACCCCTTCCCCCCCGCTCCCCCCACTTCCCCCCCCCTTCGCTACCCCCATCCCCCCTCACCCTGCGATATCCTATATACCCACACTCATGCCATTATTAGTAAAGTACTGCGATGTTTATTAAACTCATATTTTTTAACCGAACTCACCTCACATTGTATGTTGTCCCTAAAGTCACATACCTCTCCCCCAACACCGTTTTTTTTTGTTTAAGTCTATAGCAAAACTAGTATTTGTGAAGTAAAGTGGGAAATGGGGATTAAAAATGTGTTAGTTGTGAATTCCGTGAATGAAGTTAAAAATATCCTCTTACTCAAACTTTTGTAAAACACCGTGGAAAGATCAGTATCAAAATCAGTGCCAACTTTTTTTGAGAAGCCAAAAATACAAATTGCGTTTTCCGGTAACCGGAAATATCCCTGTCTACGTAAGACAAACGGTAATTAAGCTTCGGGCGTGCGTTAAAACCATTAGGCTTATTTTTAGCCAATATAATTCCCTAATTTCCCGATGTTACATACAGCTTCAACAGACAAAACATCTATTAGCTTTTTGTGTGAAAAAACAAATTTAAATTATGATGTTGTTTACGTAATCCAAGAATATATTCATTCAAATATGATTTCGACAGCTTGTAAGTAAAACATTTGTTTTTAAAAACTTTTTTTAAAGGAAATCAGTGTTCCAGAAACTGGAGGCAGCTATAGATAACAAAGCATTGATAAATTGTATAAACATGGTGAGTTATCTTTTCATAAAGTTTGATAAACTGTATAAACATGGTAAGTTATCTTTTCATAATGCCATAATAAACTGTGTAAGCATGGTAAGTCATCTTTCTTCTTCGCAACATCCATCATCATCGTCAACATCATTAACATTAGTCGCCAACTCTGTCATCATCACTCACATAATAATCACAGGTCTCATTATCATCGTCATATTCAGCGCTATTACAATTTAAAATCAGCAACATCTTTTCCGTTGAAATTACGGCTTTTCCCGCGTTATTCCTAACAAGTTTCACCTTTATTTTCAATGTATTTACCATCACTCTGTTGCGAACATGAAATTTTGCATTCGGAAAAAATGCTACCAAGTTCAAGAGGATTTTAACAGACTAGCTTCTAACATTTCATAAAGCTTTTTCTACTTATGTCCATTACTAAAACCCGCTGTATATCCCGAGAAGTTTCTTTTACGTATATCTACTGGTGAAGGGTGGGGGCTAGGCACTGGCCCTCCTCCCCGGAGCGAAATATAAAATGTATTTACAAAATATATACTTCAACCAGTATCCGCCCCCTTCACCTAATCATGTAAGTCCACCCCACCTCAAAAGTTTCAAGTGCCCCCCTCCCCATCCACAGAGAAAAATGTTGGAAAGAAACAAACCTATCACATTTGTTGTTTGTTTTTTTCTTAAAAAAAAAACGTTATTTTAGCGTTAGGTGTTCATTAGAGTCGGTTTTCTATTTAGATCTGTTTTTTCCACGCTTTTTCATTCTTTGTCGTGCCCCATCCAACGCCATTCTTTTTTTTTTAAATTATTAATTCGGAAACTGCTTCCACTGTCATCTCTTTTAGTCGAACTATCATTGGAGATGGCGTTAGGTATTCCTTTTATTCTTCGTAAACACTAGTTTGGAAAGAGTTCAGTGAGTGTGTCTCTATTTCTAAGTGGACCCTAGTGAAATTGGTAATGTCTCTATTTCTAGGTGGACCCTAGTGAAATTGGTACTGTCTCTATTTCTAAGTGGACCCTAGTGAAATTGGTAATGTCTCTATTTCTAAGTGGACCCTAGTGAAATTGGTAATGTCTCTATTTCTAGGTGGACCCTAGTGAAATTGGTAATGTCTCTATTTCTAGGTGGACCCTAATGAAATTGGTAATGTGTCTATTTTTAGGTTGACCCTGGTGAAATTGGTACTGAAGGTCCTAAAGGTTTGATACGAGGTCAAGGTTATAATATCACTCTGGTAAGTATGACAATATGGAGCCGGCATCACTCTAAATCAGTGGTTCTTAACCTGGGTTGGATCGAACCCCATGGCAAATCTGTCTCAGGGGTTTGACGGATGTCAAGACATAAACCCGACTCAGAGGGTTTACGATCAGAATTTTTTTTAAGGCGGACGATAGAACTAGTAAAAAGGGTTCGGTGGTTGCGATTATGAGACTGATGGAGTTCGGTATCTCCCAAAAAAAAAAGGTTAAGAACCACTGTTGTAAAATAACAAAACATGTATATATATATATATATATATATATATATACATATATATATATATATATATATATATATATATATATATATATATATAAAAATATATATATATATATATATATATATATATATATATATATATATATATATATATATATATATATATATATATATATGTATATATATATATATATATATATATATATATATATATATATATATGTGTGTGTGTATAAATATATACTCACACACACACACATATATATATATATATATATATATATATAGAGAGAGAGAGAGAGAGAGAGAGAGAGAGAGAGAGAGAAATGTATTTATTATATATAAATAAATAAATAAATAAATATATATATATATATATATATATATATATATATATATATATATATATATATATATATATATATATATATATATATATTGTTTGGTCACACTTTAACATTTATATTTAAACATGAACTTGATTATTGTACTAATGCTATCTGACTTGCAGGTAAAAACAATCGAAATCCCAAAATCCCATTGGGGCACCTTGGATCACGAGGTGATGCTGCTGAGGCTCTTCAACCCCTGGGGGGAGAAGGAATGGACGGGGGCGTGGTCTGATAAGTGAGTGATGTCTTGCTGTCGTCTGCTGAGAACTGTATTGAAAATATCAAAATCGTGATGCTAATGACTTGTGACGGATGGGGTGGTGTAGAGGTAGAGCGCTAGACTATTAACGAGAAAAAGTCGAGTTCGAATCCGGGTTCGAGCGCCCCTGAGTCCACCCAGCTCTAATTGGCACCTCACTCACGTTAGGGAAAGTAAAGACGGCTGTGTATAGGTGCTGATTACACCTTTCCTTCATATGCCGAGGTAACAGAAACAAGGGAACTCTACTCCACTTGCCCCATGGATCGTTAGGTTCGAAATTGGAACTTTCCTTAATGACAGGATATATTTATATTACGTTATTCAGAGCTTCTTTCAGGCACCTCTTCGAGGTAGTGCAGTTCCCTTAACATCCACCCCCGAAGCACATCTATCGCCCCTTTCCACTCCCCTTCCCTGAACGAAACTTTTAAGTCTGCTTCACACCCCCTTCCAGGAGAAAAAAATAACTGAAAGAAACACTGACGTTGGTTGAAAACTGGTTTTACTTTTTGTGTTCTAGTTCAAAAGAGCTGAAACAGATGAGTCAAAACGAATGGGAGAAAGTGGGAATCAAGTTCACAAAAGAAGGAGAATTTTAGTAAGTATTGATTTTCATGTGACTTCGTGGTGAAACGGTAGAGTGTTTTGCTGCTAGCCTAAAGGTGTCGAGTTCTGATCTTGGTTCAGACTTGTGGCTGTAGGACTTGAGTCCACCCAACTCTGATGGGTACATGATTTACATTGGTAAAGGTAATGTCATAGAGCTGATCACCATAGCCTTTTATTCACCGAGGTCCAGAAATGCATGAACTCTACTTCATATTCCCAATAGATCGCTAGGTCTAAAGGATAAATCTTTACTCCAACAACTGCACTGTACGAGATAACTATATTGAATTAATCTAGAACTATGTCTTCTAAACATGCATTATACCGCTTAAACACGTCGCTCCTATTCGAAAATACGCTCTAGGCTTATGTCTATGGCTTTTGAAAGAAGTAAAACAATGGACGGAATGTAAAATAGCCACGTAAAATCACTGGCACTTCAGGAATAGTAGAAATATACTTGCAAAACATAAAATTATGAGAGCTGAAATATGTATTACCATACACATACATGTAGATTATATTTACACGTATATTCGGTGAAAGGACAAATGATCTCAGACAAAATATCCAGGTTAAAATATCTAACGAACAAATTATCTCAAGACGAAATATTTCAGAAAAAAATAATTATGGACAGATGATTTCTCATAGGTTTTTCGCATTTTATCAAAACATTTTAAGTTGCTAGTAGAATTTTATATATATATATATATATATATATATATATATATATATATATATATATATATATATATATATATATATATATATATATATATATATATATATATATAAATGTATAGATATATGTATGTATACTTTAGACGTATACCCATTTATAATTATGCGTACCAATCATAAACACCTACAGTAAACTTGATACCTTCGATAAAAATCATTGTAAAAATCTTCTCGGTTGTATTTATGTCACCATCTACATCAGCGATACAAAAACATGTAGTTCGGCCAACCTTAACTGCACCTATTCCATCTCCCACAGCATGAGCTACAACGACTTCCTGGCCAACTTCACGCACGTGGACATCTGCCATTTCGTCAACACCAGCTTCTTCTCCCTCAAGAAAACCTGGCACGAGTCTGTCTTCTTTGGCGAGTGGAAGATTAGTGGCCGAAATGGTGGCAACAACCTGCAGAGTCCCAGCTTTTTCTGCAATCCTCAGGTAATTCAACTCTCAAAACTTGCTCGGTTTTTCAATATTGTAATTTTGTTTCATTCTTAATTTTTTAATTACTATAAATATAAGTGATATATATATAATTATATACAGAGTTTCTTCCAGGCATCTATTCGAGGAGGGGGGGGCTTTGTGTGTGATGTCTATGTAAATGTGTATGTGTGTGTGTTATGTCTATGTAAATGTGTGTGTGTGATATGTCTATGTAAATGTGTGTAAGTGTGTTATATGTCTATGTAAATGTGTGTAAGTGTGTTATATGTCTATGTAAATGTGTGTGTGTTATATTTCTATGTAAATGTGTGTAAGTGTGTTATATGTCTATGTAAATGTGTGTAAGTGTGTTATATGTCTATGTAAATGTGTGTAAGTGTGTTATATGTCTATGTAAATGTGTGTGTGTGATATGTCTATGTAAATGTGTGTGTGTGTGATATGTCTATGTAAATGTGTGTAAGTATGTAATATGTCTATGTAAATGTGTGTAAGTGTGTTATATGTCTATGTAAATGTGTGTGTGTGTGTGATAAGTCTATGTAAATGTGTGTAAGTGTGTTATATTTCTATGTAAATGTGTGTAAGTGTGTTATATTTCTATGTAAATGTGTGTAAGTGTGTTATATGTCTATGTAAATGTGTGTGTTATATTTCTATGTAAAAGTGTGTAAGTGTGTTATATGTCTATGTAAATGTGTTTAAGTGTGTTATATGTCTATGTAAATGTGTGTAAGTGTGTTATATGTCTATGTAAATGTGTGTAAGTGTGTTATATGTCTATGTAAATGTGTGTGTGATATGTCTATGTAAATGTGTGTGTGTGTGATATGTCTATGTAAATGTGTGTAAGTATGTAATATGTCTATGTAAATGTGTGTAAGTGTGTTATATGTCTATGTAAATGTGGTTGTGTGTGTGATAAGTCTATGTAAATGTTTGTAAGTGTGTTATATTTCTATGTAAATGTGTGTACGTGTGTTATATGTCTATGTAAATGTGTGTGTGTTATATGTCTATGTAAATGTGTGTAAGTGTGTTATATGTCTATGTAAATGTGTGTAAGTGTGTAATATGTCTATGTTAATGTGTGTGTGTGTGTGTGATATTTCTATGTAAATGGGTGTGTGTGTGATATGTCTATGTAAATGTGTGTAAGTGTGTTATATTTCTATGTAAATGTGTGTGTGTGTGATATGTCTATGTAAATGTGTGTAAGTGTGTTATATGTCTATGTAAATGTGTGTAAGTGTGTTATATGTCTATGTAAATGTGTGTAAGTGTGTTATATGTCTATGTTAATGTGTGTGTGTGTGTGATATGTCTATATAAATGTGTGTGTGTGTGTGATATGTCTATGTAAATGTGTGTGTGTTATATTTCTATGTAAATGTGTGTGTGTGTGTTATATTTCTATGTAAATGTGTGTAAGTGTGTTATATGTCTATGTAAATGTGTGTAAGTGTGTTATATGTCTATGTAAATGTGTGTAAGTGTGTTGTATGTCTATGTAAATGTGTGTGTGATATGTCTATGTAAATGTGTGTGTGTGTGATATGTCTATGTAAATGTGTGTAAGTATGTAATATGTCTATGTAAATGTGTGTAAGTGTGTTATATGTCTATGTAAATGTGTGTGTGTGTGTGATAAGTCTATGTAAATGTGTGTAAGTGTGTTATATTTCTATGTAAATGTGTGTAAGTGTGTTATATGTCTATGTAAATGTGTGTAAGTGTGTTATATGTCTATGTAAATGTGTGTAAGTGTGTTATATGTCTATGTAAATGTGTGTAAGTGTGTTATATGTCTATGTAAATGTGTGTGTGTGATATGTCTATGTAAATGTGTGTGTGTGATATGTCTATGTAAATGTGTGTAAGTATGTAATATGTCTATGTAAATGTGTGTAAGTGTGTTATATGTCTATGTAAATGTGTGTGTGTGTGTGATAAGTCTATGTAAATGTGTGTAAGTGTGTTATATTTCTATGTAAATGTGTGTAAGTGTGTTATATTTCTATGTAAATGTGTGTAAGTGTGTTATATGTCTATGTAAATGTGTGTGTTATATTTCTATGTAAAAGTGTGTAAGTGTGTTATATGTCTATGTAAATGTGTTTAAGTGTGTTATATGTCTATGTAAATGTGTGTAAGTGTGTTATATGTCTATGTAAATGTGTGTGTGTGTGATATGTCTATGTAAATGTGTGTAAGTATGTAATATGTCTATGTAAATGTGTGTAAGTGTGTTATATGTCTATGTAAATGTGGTTGTGTGTGTGATAAGTCTATGTAAATGTTTGTAAGTGTGTTATATTTCTATGTAAATGTGTGTACGTGTGTTATATGTCTATGTAAATGTGTGTGTGTTATATGTCTATGTAAATGTGTGTAAGTGTGTTATATGTCTATGTAAATGTGTGTAAGTGTGTAATATGTCTATGTTAATGTGTGTGTGTGTGTGTGATATTTCTATGTAAATGGGTGTGTGTGTGATATGTCTATGTAAATGTGTGTAAGTGTGTTATATTTCTATGTAAATGTGTGTGTGTGTGATATGTCTATGTAAATGTGTGTAAGTGTGTTATATGTCTATGTAAATGTGTGTAAGTGTGTTATATGTCTATGTAAATGTGTGTAAGTGTGTTATATGTCTATGTTAATGTGTGTGTGTGTGTGTGATATGTCTATATAAATGTGTGTGTGTGTGTGATATGTCTATGTAAATGTGTGTGTGTTATATTTCTATGTAAATGTGTGTGTGTGTGTGATATGTCTATGTAAATGTGTGTAAGTGTGTTATATGTCTATGTAAATGTGTGTAAGTGTGTTATATGTCTATGTAAATGTGTGTGTGTTATATTTCTATGTAAATGTGTGTAAGTGTGTTATATGTCTATGTAAATGTGTGTAAGTGTGTTATATGTCTATGTAAATGTGTGTAAGTGTGTTGTATGTCTATGTAAATGTGTGTGTGATATGTCTATGTAAATGTGTGTGTGTGTGATATGTCTATGTAAATGTGTGTAAGTATGTAATATGTCTATGTAAATGTGTGTAAGTGTGTTATATGTCTATGTAAATGTGTGTGTGTGTGATAAGTCTATGTAAATGTGTGTAAGTGTGTTATATTTCTATGTAAATGTGTGTAAGTGTGTTATATGTCTATGTAAATGTGTGTAAGTGTGTTATATGTCTATGTAAATGTGTGTAAGTGTGTTATATGTCTATGTAAATGTGTTTAAGTGTGTTATATGTCTATGTAAATGTGTGTAAGTGTGTTATATGTCTATGTAAATGTGTGTAAGTGTGTTATATGTCTATGTAAATGTGTGTGTGTGATATGTCTATGTAAATGTGTGTGTGTGTGATATGTCTATGTAAATGTGTGTAAGTATGTAATATGTCTATGTAAATGTGTGTAAGTGTATTATATGTCTATGTAAATGTATTTGTTTGTGTGATAAGTCTATGTAAATGTTTGTAAATGTGTTATATTTCTATGTAAATGTGTGTAAGTGTGTTATATGTCTATGTAAATGTGTTTAAGTGTGTTATATGTCTATGTAAATGTGTGTAAGTGTGTTATATGTCTATGTAAATGTGTGTAAGTGTGTTATATGTCTATGTAAATGTGTGTGTGTGATATGTCTATGTAAATGTGTGTGTGTGTGATATGTCTATGTAAATGTGTGTAAGTATGTAATATGTCTATGTAAATGTGTGTAAGTGTGTTATATGTCTATGTAAATGTGTGTGTGTGTGTGATAAGTCTATGTAAATGTGTGTAAGTGTGTTATATTTCTATGTAAATGTGTGTAAGTGTGTTATATTTCTATGTAAATGTGTGTAAGTGTGTTATATGTCTATGTAAATGTGTGTGTTATATTTCTATGTAAAAGTGTGTAAGTGTGTTATATGTCTATGTAAATGTGTTTAAGTGTGTTATATGTCTATGTAAATGTGTGTAAGTGTGTTATATGTCTATGTAAATGTGTGTAAGTGTGTTATATGTCTATGTAAATGTGTGTGTGTGATATGTCTATGTAAATGTGTGTGTGTGTGATATGTCTATGTAAATGTGTGTAAGTATGTAATATGTCTATGTAAATGTGTGTAAGTGTGTTATATGTCTATGTAAATGTGGTTGTGTGTGTGATAAGTCTATGTAAATGTTTGTAAGTGTGTTATATTTCTATGTAAATGTGTGTACGTGTGTTATATGTCTATGTAAATGTGTGTGTGTTATATGTCTATGTAAATGTGTGTAAGTGTGTTATATGTCTATGTAAATGTGTGTAAGTGTGAAATATGTCTATGTTAATGTGTGTGTGTGTGTGTGATATTTCTATGTAAATGGGTGTGTGTGTGATATGTCTATGTAAATGTGTGTAAGTGTGTTATATTTATATGTAAATGTGTGTGTGTGTGATATGTCTATGTAAATGTGTGTAAGTGTGTTATATGTCTATGTAAATGTGTGTAAGTGTGTTATATGTCTATGTAAATGTGTGTAAGTGTGTTATATGTCTATGTTAATGTGTGTGTGTGTGTGTGATATGTCTATATAAATGTGTGTGTGTGTGTGATATGTCTATGTAAATGTGTGTGTGTTATATTTCTATGTAAATGTGTGTGTGTGTGTGATATGTCTATGTAAATGTGTGTAAGTGTGTTATATGTCTATGTAAATGTGTGTAAGTGTGTTATATGTCTATGTAAATGTGTGTGTGTTATATTTCTATGTAAATGTGTGTAAGTGTGTTATATGTCTATGTAAATGTGTGTAAGTGTGTTATATGTCTATGTAAATGTGTGTAAGTGTGTTGTATGTCTATGTAAATGTGTGTGTGATATGTCTATGTAAATGTGTGTGTGTGTGATATGTCTATGTAAATGTGTGTAAGTATGTAATATGTCTATGTAAATGTGTGTAAGTGTGTTATATGTCTATGTAAATGTGTGTGTGTGTGTGATAAGTCTATGTAAATGTGTGTAAGTGTGTTATATTTCTATGTAAATGTGTGTAAGTGTGTTATATGTCTATGTAAATGTGTGTAAGTGTGTTATATGTCTATGTAAATGTGTGTAAGTGTGTTATATGTCTATGTAAATGTGTTTAAGTGTGTTATATGTCTATGTAAATGTGTGTAAGTGTGTTATATGTCTATGTAAATGTGTGTAAGTGTGTTATATGTCTATGTAAATGTGTGTGTGTGATATGTCTATGTAAATGTGTGTGTGTGTGATATGTCTATGTAAATGTGTGTAAGTATGTAATATGTCTATGTAAATGTGTGTAAGTGTATTATATGTCTATGTAAATGTATTTGTTTGTGTGATAAGTCTATGTAAATGTTTGTAAGTGTGTTATATTTCTATGTAAATGTGTGTAAGTGTGTTATATGTCTATGTAAATGTGTTTAAGTGTGTTATATGTCTATGTAAATGTGTGTAAGTGTGTTATATGTCTATGTAAATGTGTGTAAGTGTGTTATATGTCTATGTAAATGTGTGTGTGTGATATGTCTATGTAAATGTGTGTGTGTGTGATATGTCTATGTAAATGTGTGTAAGTATGTAATATGTCTATGTAAATGTGTGTAAGTGTATTATATGTCTATGTAAATGTATTTGTTTGTGTGATAAGTCTATGTAAATGTTTGTAAGTGTGTTATATTTCTATGTAAATGTGTGTAAGTGTGTTATATGTCTATGTGAATGTGTGTGTGTTATATGTCTATGTAAATGTGTGTAAGTGTGTTATATGTCTATGTTAATGTGTGTGTGTGTGTGTGATATGTCTATGTAAATGGGTGTGTGTGTGATATGTCTATGTAAATGTGTGTGTGTGTGTGATATGTCTATGTAAATGTGTGTGTGTGTGATATGTCTATGTAAATGTGTGTAAGTGTGTTATATGTCTATGTAAATGTGTGTAAGTGTGTTATATGTCTATGTAAATGTGTGTAAGTGTGTTATATGTCTATGTTAATGTGTGTGTGTGTGTGTGTGATATGTCTATATAAATGTGTGTGCGTGTGATATGTCTATGTAAATGTGTGTGTGTTATATTTCTATGTAAATGTGTGTGTGTGTGATATGTCTATGTAAATGTGTGTAAGTGTGTTATATTTCTATGTAAATGTGTGTGTGTGTGATATGTCTATGTAAATGTGTGTAAGTGTGTTATATGTCTATGTAAATGTGTGTAAGTGTGTTATATGTCTATGTAAATGTGTGTAAGTGTGTTATATGTCTATGTTAATGTGTGTGTGTGTGTGTGATATGTCTATATAAATGTGTGTGTGTGTGATATGTCTATGTAAATGTGTGTGTGTTATATTTCTATGTAAATGTGTGTGTGTGTGTGATATGTCTATGTAAATGTGTGTAAGTGTGTAATATGTCTATGTAAATGTGTGTAAGTGTATTATATGTCTATTTTAAATGTGTGTAAGTGTGTTATATGTCTATGTAAATGTGTGTAAGAGTGTTATATGTCTATGTAAATGTGTGTGTGTGCGATATGTCTATGTAAATGTGTGAAAGTGTGTTATATGTCTATGTAAATGTGTGTAAGTGTGTGATATGTCTATGTAAATGTGTGTGTGTGATATGTCTATGTAAATGTGTGTGTGTGTGATATGGCTATGTAAATGTGTGTGTGTGTGATATGTCTATGTAAATGTGTGTGTGTGTGATATGGCTATGTAAATGTGTGTGTGTGTGTGATATGTCTATATAAATGTGTGTTTGTGTGACCTGGCATACACCTTCTGTGCCCTAGTATCTGTTCGACGTCACCGCTGAGGACACCATCATGGTGACGCTTGACCAGAGGGACGTGACGTCATCCGGCGTGGCGGTCAAGGACAACAAAAACTGCATAGGGTTTTATATCCTCAAGGTAATTACATTTTTGCTGGGGTTTTTTTTTTATTTATATAGCAATTTTGTTGTGAGGGATAAATACAAGAACTCTACTTCATCTTATTTATTATCTCGATGTAGCAACTACCCCACATTTTTCTGTGACTGTGTACAACTGCTGGTTATATTGTTCCACGTTGAGACCCCATTATATGGCTTCTACATAATATACACCTTTTAACGTATATAGTTAGCCTGGATTGTTTGTAGCGGGGGAGCACTCAGTGAATGATGAAGGCTAGCGATGTGGGTGCTAGACTGGGTGATGGCGCTTTGTCTGTCATTGATTTGGCAACATGCATGTACATACACGTACACACCCAGCTGTACACCTGCATGTATACATACAAAAACACACACTCATGCACATATTCCTGCACATGCGTGTACTCTGATTCTTACGCATGATTATATACATATTTCCCCCCCTCCCCCCGAAACACACACCCATACTCATTACAATCATACTTTCAAATTGTGTACGTGTACATGTACACAAACATCCATACCTGTACAAATAGACATACACACACACACACACATTTACAAATACCCATACATGATTAAACCGACTTTCACGTACATATACACATATATACGTACACCTAACTTTCACAACAGACGGATGAAAACCGGACCTATCGGATCCACGTCGAAGGTCAGGTCATGTTTACGTCCCAGTTCCTTAAGGCCAGGAATGTCTTTGGAACGGTCAAGCTGCCCAAAGGTCGCTTCGTGCTCGTGCCCTGCTGTGACACACCCGCGGCTGCCGGGGAGTTCATGGTCAGGTTCTACACGTCACACAAGGCAGGGTCAAGGTCAGTCTATAGTGTATAGGGGAAAAAAATATATATGTATATACATACATATATATATATATATATATATATATATATATATATATATATATATATATATATATATATATATACATATATATATATATACTCAAATATATAGTACGTATAAATGTATATATATATATACTCAAATATATAGTACGTATATATGTATATATATATATATAAATGAATATATATATGTATATATATATATATATATATATATATATATATATATATATATATATATATATATATATTTATATTTATATATATATATATATATATATATATATATATATATATATATATATATATATATATATATATATATATATATATATATACATATATATATACTCAAATATATAGTACGTATAAATGTTTATATATATATATATACCCAAATATATAGTTCGTATATATGTATATATATATATATATATATATATATATATATATATATATATATATATATATATATATATATATATATATATATATATATATACATACATATATACAATGTAAAAACTATACATAAAATATTATTTATATATATATTTATAAATAACCGTATTTTTTATATGTATATACTTATTAATTGTATATACTTATATATATAGGGTATAGAAGACAAATGCAGTATGGCCACTTTTTAGGTCAAGTTGATGTACATTTGATACTGATATTGTAAATAATACAAGCTACAAGAACACTCATGTACAATGCCAGAAAAGTAGAATGCAAATATTTTATGAATGTTTAAACATAATATTTTGCACTATTTTAATATTGGAATGAGATTTATAAACTCATTTTTCTCGAGGTTATGTTTTTTTGGACACAATGCGTTTGACTTCTATACCCTCGATATATATATATATATATATATATATATATATATATATATATATATATATATATATATATATATATATATATATATATATATATATATATATATATATTACATTGCTTATTTATAGCTAATTGTTACTATTTAGAGAGCTCGCATTCGTTTTTTTAACTTGAGATTTTCTTAAAAGTTTGTTGTTTAAAATATTACTTTCATTAAATAATACAGCAGTGTTCCTAGGTAAGATACGTAAATTACGTTTTGTGATCCATTGTTTGCTTAGTATACAGCTTAATAAACCAATTCTTTGCCTAGATTTTTGTGTAAATCTGTGTTTTCCTCACACTAATTGAATAGCAATATTAACAGAAAGTGATATTTCAACGCCAAGGGTTAACTTTCTGTTAATATTGCTATTTCAGTTACAACGTCTGCTTCCACCCCCCTACACTAATTGAATATAAAATTATTTCTTCCTGTATACATTTTTATGATTCATTGCTGAATCTAAATTCTCTGTAGATCAGTGTTTTGTAATTCATTGATGTAGCTACCTCCCCCTTTGGAGATTTTTTATTGTGATTAAAAAAAAAATCTTCTTCTTGATTTAATAACTGTTTTAGATGTGTATTTAGAGTAACACGGACTAACAAACACACACTCATGTTGACTAGCACACACATAGTATAGATACAGAGATATAACTTACACTACCGACATATTTATTTTGCATTAGTATATTACCTTATCTTAGACTTTAGACCAAAACCTAACTCTAACACTTGCCCTTTATTTTTCCCTTTCTTAACAGGTTCATATGTATATCTAATTGCATAAACACACACACGCACTATATATATATATATATATATATATATATATATATATATATATATATATACACACACACACACACTACGAATGCAAAATATAATTTACTTTTGAAATGTTATATCCTATAATTAATTTCTTCTTTAAAAATAACACTACAAGCTTTGACACCATTATTTATTATCGATTTGTTGGTTTTTAATGTGTTAGTATTTTCCCACGATAAATACACTGCTCTCTGCCTTTGGGTAAAAATCTACGGAACATGAGTTCTAATCTTATTCTAATTTTTACATTTTCTCACATGCAGGGAGCTTACTTTTGATGCACCCGTAGCTGGATGCTGCTCCGGCAAGTTTAAAATTATGACAACTATTGTGATTGAGAAATTGGAAGAATTAGCGTTGCCAGCCAATGAGAAGGGAAGTAAGTACATGGAGCAGGTTACACAAACTATTTTCATAAACGACGTCACATTTTTTTTGTTTTTTTCGCCCTCTTCCATCCCTTACTGACTTACAATACATACATTCTCACAAACGCTCCGACTGAGTAGACATATTTTATTTTTAAAGTAATTTTAAGTTGTTTGTATGTAAGGGGATATAACAAAGCCAGTGACATTTTTACAGATAATATTAATAGAGTCGTTTCCCTTGGTATGGAAAGTTTTTGAAAAATTGGGTCATTATCATAAGCGTCGTTTCATTAATAACTTTTTATAAGCTTGTTTTTTTTTTATGGATCTCTTAAGGTCTATCGTCCCCCAGAACGAAATAGAAAAAAAAAATCATATTTTATACATTAGTGGAGAAAAATGACTAAAAGAAACAGGTTAACAATTTTTTTAAATGTTACCCTTGCTTTATTACACATCGTCGCATACCTCTATATAGAATTGCATTGACTACACCTTAGTCTTGCTTATTGATCATTCTATTTCTCTATTATACCAGCCATTACATGTTGTGTTTTCTTCACTTTTCCTGGCTTTTATTCTTTATGTTTTTTCAATTGTCCCATCCAGTGATTCTCACAATGTTACTCCAAAAAATTTATCCTCAAGTTCCTATGTTTCAGCTGTTGACCCCCATGTGGTGGTGAAGTGTGAGGACCAGAAAGTCACATCAGAGAGCAAGGTCAACCAGACCTCACCTGAGTTCAACTTGTCCTGTACATTCTACAGAAAAAAACCTTCCCAGCCCATCATTGTTGAAGTATGTTTTTTTTTGTAATTATTATTGTTTCTAGTTATCTGTCATAAAGATAGCCTAATTTATTAAAGTATTATTATCAAAATCAATAGAACTATTTAATTTAGTCATTTTTTTCCAAAAGGAAGACTTGTTGAGTTGTGTTTTTTATTATGTGTTTAGTTATCTTTTATAAAAGTGACTGTTTTATTAAAGTATCATTACCTAGTATCAAATAATCACAGTTATTTTTTTCCAAAAGGAAGACTTGTTGAGTTGTGTTTTTTATTATGTGTTTAGTTATCTTTTATAAAAGTGACTGTTTTATTAAAGTATCATTACCTAGTATCAAATAATCACAGTCCTGTTTTATTATATTAAGTAGTTGTTTTTTTTCAAAAGGTAGGCTTGTAGTGATGTGTTTTTTATTATTATATTTTTAGTTATCTTTGATAAGGAAGACTTATTGTATTATAGTATTATTATCTTGTATCAATAGGCCTATTTTCTTATTTTAGTATATTTTTAGTATATTTTTTTTTTAAAGGTAGGCTTTTAAAAAATTTGTTAATTAGTGTTTATTGAGTAATTAGTTTTTGCCTAGATCTAGTTTAAAATTGTTGAGTGAATTTATGAAGTTATAAGGTCGTTTTTCTATTAAGTAATGTGCTTTAATTAAATAGGCATATGGCTAACAAATATGCCACTGATTTAAGAAATAGCAGTGACTTTTTATTCAGCATAAAAACCCTCCACCGTATAAATATAGTAGAGGATTCCCATTTTGAAACTTGATTCTCCTTTCCATTTTAGATCTACTTTTGAATATTGTTTTTTTTTAAAAAACATCTATTATAAAATATATTGAAAGTCTGATTATTAATCAATAAAATATCAAACTTGATATGTTAACTAAATGATTTTTTTAACATGATGTTACCTATTTCCATTATTGAAATGTTAAATAATCATGTTTGAATTTTTTTTAAACATGATGCTAATTTAACTGGTATAAATGATTATAATTGAACTCTAGTGATTTTTCTTTTATTATTTAATAAAACCTGTTATTTTAATTTTTCCATTTTATAATCAAAGTAACTATCTATTTATAACTATTGAATTATCTTTATTTAAAAAAAAAACAATAGGTCTACTGCAAAAGGACAGTAAGAAGTATTTTCCTAGGGGAGGCAAGGGTTGATTGGCCAGGTAAATTCTCTGCTAATTTTATAGATAAATTGTTTCTTCTCTTCTTTGGTATAAACTGTGTGCATTAACATTATTTATAATAAAATTAAACGTTTTTCAGTTTATTTAAGTAAAAAAAGGTTTAAATTTTTTATATATTTTTGTTTATTAAAGGGAAACAAATTTTGGTAGTTTAAAAAATGGTTTAAAAAACATTGAGAATCTATATTAAAAAAAAGTTAGATTTATTTTTAAAATACTTCTTTAATCAAAAGCAGATTAGAATATTCATCTCACTTTATACTAAACACACAAAATTATACTGTCTTTAGAAAATAAATAATAGCGTAACAAGTTAGATGAAACTACAATAGAAGAATTCTAACATAATTTAGTTTTCCTTTTTCTTTGATTCATCTGAAGAGAATAAAATTAACCTTTTTTTCTGCCATTCTTTACTTTTAAACTTGATTTTTTTTTATTCCTAAAAGAAAAAAAAAAATATCACAATACTTTATCAACAGTTGTCACATAAAATTTCTGAAAGCTAATGAACGAAATTGAAAAAAAAAAAGGAAAACAAGCTAGTTTTAAACAAACGAAAAACAAACAGAATGTCTAATTAAATAACAATGCATAACACAAATTTTTTTTATATTGAAATTAGAGTTTTGAAGCCATAGAGTAGACTTATAACATGTGTACCTACGTAGAACACAATTTTTACCAGTGCTAAGCTTGATATAATTACCTGGGTGGGGTCGGAATGGTTGGGTTGATAAAGCTCAAGAACGTTTGGCCAAAAAGTCCTAAGTTCACAACCCAGGCAGTGGAGGCTCAATAGCTGGGGAACTGTCTAGAAAAGCTAAATCCTAAATGCAGCTACTGCTGACTTAGATGAACAAAGGCAATGGGGACAAATCCATAAAGAAAAGCAGGCTGAAATCAGAGTTATAGTGCATAAAAAGTTGACACTTAACACTTAGGTGTTGGATGAAATGATGTCCAACATTAGAACTAAGAATCAAGAAGAAAATTTTCCCGGGTTTTAAACTCATTCACTCAACTTTTTACGAATACCTAAGTAAAGCAAATGCTGTTCAGAGTTCCTTCCAGGCATCTCTTCACCCCCCTCGAACCAAATGAAATTTATAAAGAAAATATATTCTTTTAACAGTGTCCGCCCCCCAGAAGAAAGTCTACCGCCCCCCCCCCCCCCCCCAAAAAAAAATTTCAAGTGCCCCCCCCCCCCCTCCGGAGAAAAAAGTCTGGAAGAAACACTGATGCTGTTGGCTTAGTGGCAACCAAAAAATCCTTTCATGTATATTCATCTTCTGCAAAATATTACACTGCCTTTATCTGGCTTCAAGTTTCAAATGATACCTTACATTCAGAGATAATCATTACATGTATGTAACAGTCTTTCTAAGAAAACTTCAGTAAATTTTTATTTGAAATTTAGCATATTCTAGAACAGCCACAGAAGGTAAGAGACTATTGGTGTTAAAAGGGCTAGGAGCTTTTTCTATATAACTACTGCCCAGTGGCGTAGCCAGGATCGTCTCAAGGGGGGTTCCAATTTATACCCGGGGACAAACTTTCGATTTGCACCCCCCCCCCTCAAACTTTCCATTTGCACCCCCCCTCAAACTTTCCATTTTGCACCCCCCCCCCCTCATACTTTATATATATACTGAGGGGTCTATGGGGGGATTATGACCCCCCCTAAACCCCCCCCCCCCTCTGCCTACGCCACTGCTACTGCCTCTGTATTGTTATATGTCAAGTTGCCATGGAATGCTATCGACTGCTTATTATTTTCTACTGGAAAATACATTTTAAATAGCGACATTAGTAGATATTTAAAGTGCTCTATATAAAAACGTATTCATTTTCCACCAAAGTGAGCTTGATTTTAATTTTCATGTGTACATTTGCAAGTAATTTAATTATACAAGGTATTTTGAAAATATAAAAAATGTGTGATTTAAACAGTTATAATTTATTTAAAATATACGACTCCTGTCCCACTTTGATTAGTTACCTAAAAACTATACATTTCAATTTCAGTATCTTGTTTTGTAAAAAAAAATTAACACCCTGCACTCATTCATAGAAGTTTATTGTGGTTTTTATGGGCACAAAACATATATTTTAATATCTTTAATTTATATAGATATTTATAATAAATTTTTTTTGCTTAATTTAGTATACATTTTATACTTGAGCCCTTTAGAGGGCTTTTCACTGCTTCACCATTTTCTTCAATATCGGTACACCTTTTAATTTTAGTCAGATTACAAAGCCTATATTCAACATGTTTAAAATTTTCATTGTTTCAAAATAGATCATCACACTTCCTTCTGTCCTTATAAATAACTTAATTTAAAAGAGTATTTTTCTGATTATGTTTTGTTGAGTACCAAATTCTACGTTCCAGATAAGCTTTAAGAGATCAAAATATATATTTAAGTATATTCAGACCAATATATATACTAAAAATTCTTGGTTTTGTTTTCTTTTTTTTCAAATTAGGAAAATCTTTATCTAAAACAAGTAAGAAGATAAACTTTGTTTTGTTTAGCAATATTTTATTTCAGACTCTTAACTGATAGCTCATTTTTTGTTTGTGTTATGAATTACTGTTTGCATAAGGTTTTATCTGGGTTTCTTTTTGTTTATTTTGAACTTTGTGTATAAAATACTACTATGATTCACTACATGGTTTTTAATGTAAAGCTTTGTATATGATGTGTAGAGTGTGAGGTAAACCTCCTTAGTATTCAAAAATAAAAATAGGAATAAAAATTTAAATACAAATGTAATAAACTCATATAGTTTTTATTTAAGTAAAAGCAAATTATTTTTATCCAATCTCTTGAAAAATATTGTATTTATATAGAAAACACCCCACAAATTGGATCAATATTTTGCTGATTTTTCCACACATTATTTAAACACTTAAATAAAGCTATAACTGAATTCTCAAATAAACTGTTTTATTTCTTGCTGAAAGAAGCACTAATTCCAAATAGGAAAAATATAGACATTACAATTTTTTTTTTAGTTTTAGTACTAAGAAGCTAAATATTTTTATCACAAGTGGCTTTTCTTAAATGTTGAAAAAAGCATATATATATATATATATATATATATATATATTTATGCTAATATTTGAATGATGTACAATCCCTAAATTGTTAAAATAAATTTTAACATTTAAAAAAATTATTTCTTTTTATAAGTTTTTAAATATTGAACACAAAAAGCATGATTTAATATGAATTATTATATTATTGTTATAGTCTATAGGCCTATATAAGGAACCATATTTTGTACATTGTAAAAATGTTAGTTCAAATCTTAAATTTCCATTATTTTTACTATGGTGCATGTTTTTTAAATCTAACTAATGTTGTATATTTGTTTTCTATGATAAAAACAGACACTTCAGTAAAATCTTGTAAGTTCAAAATTTCCATTGGTTAAAAATTAAATTTGCCTTATGCTTTTTTTTTTATAAAATCTATCTTGTAATGATTTATCAAGTTATTAAATTTTGCATTTTTTAATGTTAAGTTATGGGTTAATAAATTAAATTATATTGTAAAATTCTTGCCTATTTATTTCATTCTTTTGATGTTGTTTTTTTATCAATATTTTTTCACATAACTGGTTTTTGTTATATGTGTATTCTCTAAACGATATAACTTTTTAAAAACATTTTCCCATAAAAAAATATACCTGAAACTGCTTGTTTTTAATTGTTTTCAATTTATGAATTTTTTGTTACTATTAAATTGGCTTGTATGAAATATAAAATGTTTTTAATCTAAATTTCTGTTTTCAATTGTATTTAATTGATATTTAAATTCTCTGCATTAGCACCAAAGTTTAATAATAAAAAAATAAGCCCTTCTTTTATCTTGTTACTGTACATATTTAAATGACATTTACGCTAAAGCAAAATGTCCATAAGTTTCTTTAATAATATTCTTTGTTTATAAAACTGTACTGCTTTGTCATTCTCTAAATCAGAATCTCCAATGCCAGAACTAATTATTGCAAACAAGCAATAACTTTGTTTATTATTTTCTGCATAAAATTTCATAAATGATACTTTACATTTTTATCCACAACCAAATAATTAAAGCTGATTATATTTTTTTTTAAATAAAAATTTCCAAATTTTATTTTATTTAAGAAGTTTGAAAATTACATTCTTCCATTTCAATATTCAGAACAAATAGTTACATTGGTCATTGTACATGATGACAATATACATATATATAGATGCAAATACAGATACAGATACAGATACAGATACAGATACAGATACAGATACAGATACAGATACAGATACAGATACAGATACAGATACAGATACAGATACAGATACAGATACAGATACAGATACAGATACAGATACAGATACAGATACAGATACAGATACAGATACAGATACAGAGGGACTTAAACCCAGATTTGAACTCGAGACTTTCAAGTTAGCAGTCACATGCTCTACCGTTTGACCACGTCACCCCATCTTCAATTAATGAAGTCATGCATGCAATTTGGCCTTATTTTTACCCCCACAATCTTCCTATCACATCAATAACAGACCTCTATCTCTCCTCTGGTGATGAGCTTCTACTCCTTCCCTTTCAAAAACTTTATCGTCATCAACTATTCCCTTTAGTGCTCTAGAAACATGGGGGCAGATGAAGAACTTTCCTAATTTGAGTCAGGTGACCATCAGAGCTGGTTGGATTCAGGGACAGAGTCAAGCATGGAATCTGAACTCCAGACAATATTTATTCCAAGCAAATTATTTATTAATCAGAAAACTAATGCAATGTAATGTAGCTAGTCCATAAGTCCCCTTTAGTTTATTTAAAATTTATATGCAAACTACTTTTTTAACAAGAAAAATAATGTTATCAAGTATTTAGGTCTACATTTAATTTATTTAGAAACCATTGCACAGTTTTAAAAATTGTATATCTTCTTAAACAGCGAAGCTATCAGTGACTGAAGTAGCTAGTAAGCTGAATATTATGTTCTTCTTATTACATTTTAATTATGTTCCTTTTGTTACATTTTGAATTTTAATGTTAAGATATTGATAGTTTTCAAGATTTTAATGTGGATTTTTGTTCATGAAAATTTTAATCTGTATCTAAAAATCTTTTAAACTTATTAGATCTATCTGCATGACTTGTTAAACAGAAAATTTACATTTACTTTTTTTTGTGTGGTTTTAATGATGACAAATCTTTGTCAGTAATTGCGATTGCAGGACTGCCTTGAGTCTACCCAGTGTGATGGGTACCTGACTCATATAAGGCAGCTGGTCATAGTGTCGACCACACTATCCCATCATTTTGCCTAGGTGATTAAAACAGGTGAACTCTACTTCACTTACCTAATGGACTTTAAGGCTCAAAAGGGTATATTTCTTAAATTTGTATAAAATGATATATTGTTTAAGGTAATTCTATTCTGATACTTAAATGAGAATGGATGTGTGATAGTCGAATTTGTTTGATAATTTCATAAGTCAAATGCAGCAAACTGTAAGTGATACGCTGTTACTATGTTGACATAGGCTTTTTAAAAATAGATTATTATTATGAGCTAGAAAAATAAATTAAAAACCATTTTACTCTTAATATTACAGAACAGTAAGTCTACCTTTTTCAATAACAAAAAATATTTATGATTATTAGCTTAATTCAAGAAATATTTAATTCTAGTATTTTTGAAATATAAGTGCTGGTAATAGTACTTACTTGTAAATAAGAAAACATCTTATATTTATGTTATTTTTAAGTCATTCAATACTTTGTTTTTGATAAATGTAGAGCCACCACCAGACAAATCAAGTAAGCTGCTGTGGGGTTGTCCATAAATGATGTTAGAAACTGGGTTGGAGGGGTTTCAGATTTTATGACAATTTTGTCATAAAAAAACTTATATAAAAATTCAGTTTCAAACTAAATTTCAGTATTTTATAATCAAATACTTTTTTTTTAAACGGTGAAAAAAGTTGATCAATGTATGGAATTTTTAACCAGATTTAATACAATTTTCATTCACAACTCTTAATTAGTGATGTTAACAAAAAAAATGGTATTACATAGGGTGGGGGGATGGGTTTGGTGTAACGACAATTTGATGAAGGTTGTAAAATAGAGATGCCTCTCTCTTATGGATGACCCCCTGAAATTTTATGCTTTTGTGACATGTCAACTGTTGGGCTAGTTACTGGCAAATTTTTTTTGACATTTTTATCTGTTTCTTATAAAAATGTTTCCTGTTAATATTATTTTAATTTAGATCCTTGTTTACTTTTATTAAAATTGAATGTTTGTTGTGCAAATTTTCTAAAAGGTTATGTTCACTATTATACAGAACAGATACTTATGCATAAATATAAAATTATGCCCCATCTGTATTAGTAAACTTTTATACATATAAAAATGCATTCAACTGATTATTATTTAAAATTTAGGCCTATATAATTTCAATTGTAATTATTATATTAAAATATAACAATGAACCATCAATTTATAAAGTTAAATTGGCAAATTCTGATTTCATTAAATTGTAGCTAATAGAGAAAACAAAAAAGTCATTAAGCTTATTAGTTTTCTAATAATAGTTTTGAGTATGTAGGTCTATCTGTTAATGTATACATATTATATATTTATTTGATTATCTTTTATTTTTTTCCCTCAGGTATGGAGAAGGGAGAAAAGAAGGAATACCCACTGTATGCCAGGGACACAAAAGATAAGAAAAATGTTACTATGCCAGGAAAACTGTTCATCTTTATTCAGTCAAGTGATGATTTTCAAATGTTGTAAACATTATCTGTAACTATGTACCCAAACCTGTTTTAAGTAGATTTTATTTTATTTTTTAAATTGTAGTTGCATTATCATTAATATATTTTTTATCATTAATTTGTAATGAATAGTAAATTATTCTAATTAATTGGGCCTATTTGGTGGTTTATTTAATCTTCAAACTGTAATTTATTTTAGTGAAAAACGAACCTTGACAATTGAAAGAGGTAAAAATGAATTTTTCATTAGATATAAACTGGTGCATTTTTCATCATCAACCAATTTACAGTTTTTAAAAGCAGTATTATTGCTCTTCTTATTTATAATTTTGTAATTACTAGAATCTCCTTTGTTTCCGTCCACATGCATAAAACTGAAATGTATGAAACATTGTGTTTAAACAACACTTGGAAAAAGAATAACCTCAATATTTTAATTTTTTACAAACTTTGTATTAAAACTTTAAAAAATTATGAGCATGTTTTGTTAGCATTAATCATAATAACTTTTAGAAATAATTCACTAAACAAAACACCAAAATATAATTGTTTTCAAATCTAATGTTTTTATAAACAACATGTGGTTAACAAGTCTGAATATTTTAAAAACATTTTTAAAAAGGTTTCTGCACTGATTTTATTTCACACCATGTGCAGTGACTTGCACAGTGTTAAAGCTATATGTATAACCACCTCTATTTAAATAACAGAGCCTATCACATGTCAGACGCCCTCCATTACATACATTTTTAGTTTACAGAGCCCAAACAATATCATCAAAGTTGCCTTTTCTAATAAAGCTTTGCATATTGTGATATAAAAAGTATTAAATCATAAAACAAAAATTATTCAGATTATTCTTTTCCTGACCATCTATTGTAGAGAAAATAAGTTAGCAAATTTTGTAAAATGTTATTTTTTTAGGTTTTATTTTTAAAACAACTGTGATATGTAAAGATTTATTTTTTGAATGGATACGCTCTACATTCCATAGCAGATGTTTTTACAAACATTGTGTACTTTACTAATATAAATTTTATTTTACCATTGCTAAAACAGTAAACATGATGTTTAATTTGATGACTTGAGGACAAATAAATACTAAAATAAAGTGTTTGTTCTTTTGTATCTCATATATTTTATGTATTTTTTATTTGTTTTCAATTAAAATAAAACTATTCTTAATGTATTTATATTTAATAATTTTTAAAACTTTTTTTTTTGGGCTTTTATTTAATACAACATGAGATTACACCTTCAAAATATAATAGGTAAAATACCCTTTCTGCAGCTCAAGGTGGTAGCATTTTCTAAAGATTAGTCCATGAAAGGATTGAGTTCAACATCTTTAACTTACAACAGGATCAATTTATATTCTGTCTTTATCTAGTTTAAAATAAGATGAGTTATTGAAAGTAACACTAAAGGATTTAATTTTCTACCAATACTAAGGTTTTTTAAATTCATGGTAAATTTGATAAATGTTTTTTAATCATGTTGCACTGACATTTCAATGAATATGCACATGTATTTCAACTATAGATTAATCATCATTGAAACAAATCATCTGTATCATTATAGTCAAAGAAGGGACAGTGTGGTCAATGATAGTACTGACCACACTATCCCTTCAAATGCCAAGGTTACAGAAACAGGTGAACTCTACTTTAACCCATGAACCACTAGTAACTTTATTTAAAGAGAAATATCAGGTGCTGTACGTTATAATCAATCCATTCTCGACATGTTCTCTGCATACACACTACACATAAGCTGTGTTAATCTATGCACCATACAATTATCCTGCGTACTGAGACTCAGCTTAATTGACATATGTTGTATGTAGTACAGTTTATTTTTAGTTAATCATAGTTGAACCTGGTTTCTTTTCTATAGAGAAAATTGTTCTACCTGCCATTTTTAATTTAATGCTAACCATTATGTAAACATACAAGCAATTATTTTGAGTGTAGCATTACCTATCACAAATATGTGGGTTATACTAACGTACCCAAGCCAATATGCAGACATTTAGGTTTGCTTGCTATACAATGCCAATATATTAAATTTGTTGTTTAATAGCTAAAATAAATTTGAAAAATGAAATTCCAGCTCAGCTGTATGTTGATGTACGATAGGATCACCCAAAAATTACATAGCATAGACCATGAGATTTTCTCATTGTTTGTTCTTTATTGTAAAGTTTGTCGAAGTTCCCTCCAACGCAGTTATGTTACGTTAAGGGCCATAACAGGGACGCCATGGCCTAGCGGTAGAGAGCTAGACTGCTAATCCATGAGTCTCGAGTTTGAATCAAGGACGTTCCACTGATTTGAACCCGGAGTCAACCCAGCTCTGATGGGTACCTAACTTGCATCAGGGAAACAAAGGCAGCTGAGCCTAGTGCTGATCACACTATCCCTTCATATGCCAAGATCAATGAATCAGATAAACAAGACGTCTTGGGCACGAAAAGGATTAAGAAGGGCCCTAACATTCTAATTTTCTTATTGGATTTGCTTCCATTGCCTTTGTCCACCCAAGAACAAACTACAAGGTGGCAGTTATTTGATTTGTGGAGTTTTCTCACATAGAAAGGTTGCTGCCCCCAGCTATCGAGCCTCAACTGCCTGGGGTTTGAACTTGTGACTTTTTGGTTTACCAACCAGACTACAGAAAATTGTTCATAACTAAAGTAGAAACAGATCATAAGATCTGCCATAACAGTAAAAACAGTGCACAGGATCTTCCATAACAAAGATTTGCCATACTAGCAAGCAGGCCATCAATATTCCTGATAATGAATACTAAAAACCAACAACCAGATATATCCAAATAAACACGACACACAGCTTTACATAGTAGAGCAAAAACAGACAAATAAAAAAGCCACACTTTTGAATTTAAAATGAAATATCCTTGTTCATTTCAAGTAAATATTTACATACACATTACAATAATTAACTATGGGCGAGCATTGACTTAAGTACAATAAACATAACATGTATATCATATGCCTTTTATACTTTCAACAGGCAAACCATATGTACAATCAAATGTTCCTGTATGGATTGATAACAGGAAAATAAAAGTCACTATTAAACAAGTGAACAGTCTCTCATATTCAACAGAATAATTTCACAACTCTATGTTCAGTCTCCCCACAATCTCCCTCACGGTTGCTATGAGCTGTTCATTCTCCTGTGGGGAGTCAAGTATGAGACTATGGAGCTTGGCCATATAAGTGTCTATAGTGTCCAAGGTGGGTAACTCTCCTGATCCTGAAAAACAAAAAAAATATATAAATATTGAAATATTTTTTTTTCCTTTCATCGTTTAGAAAATAGAACCACACTTCACAAACAAACTTGATTCACAGATGCACTTTTGACTAAAGGTCAAGTCATTCTAGGATTCTTCATCATTTTTCAACTATTCCCCCAGCCATATTAGAAGATTGGTAGGGTTGTTGGGGTAGGAAAGACAAATAACTTTAAATAAGAAAAAAAATCATGTCTTGAAGGCCAAACCAAATCACCCTTCATTGAATAGACAGGTTTAAGATTCTAGGTTTCAGTTTAGATTTGACTAACAGGCCACCAACAAGCTTTTAAGAAGAAAGCATGTCATGATGGCTTAAACCAGGGGTTCCCAACCCTATGCCCGCGGGCGCCATGGCGCCCGCTGAACAATTCTTATATGCCCGCCTCTCACTATTCGACAGAGACAGAATTTTTTTCATAAACATTATTTTAAAATATGATTTATTTTTATTCATTTGTTACAATTTTAATTTTTTTTGACTGCCTAGGTTTATTAAATATGTTTGATACTTGTCCCAACTTGTCTAGTGGCGAGCCATACTGCAATAGTTACAATTTGTAAATACATTTGAAAAAAATGCCAAATAATTTTATTATTTTGAAACATTTTTGTTTATTATTTATTAATACATTATGACTATAAGAAAATAAATTATGGGAAAATGACAAGTTATGGAAGAAGTTTGTCGATTTAAAATAGGTGATGCCCGCCACCCTACCGGAATTTTTAGAATGTGCTCTAGAGTAAAAAAAGGTTGGGAACCCCTGGCTTAAACAAATCACTCCTTAGTAATTAGATGGGTTTTAGATTCTGTTTCAAGAGGCCACCAACAAGCTTTTTCCATGCAACTTTGATACTTAGTTACTTTCCCCAACAGCATACAGTAATAACCCATCATTACTGTATGCTTCTACATCTTCTTCTTCCTCGTTCTTAATTTTAGTGTTGGAAGAGATCCCCTCCAGCACAATTAAGTATACATGTCAACTAGATATGTGCCATAGAGGCCATTGACTCAGATTGCATCCACATCAATGGCAGTGAGTTCATTCGTCCAAAAGAAACACCAGAAATATCAGGCTCGCTGTATACCTGGGAGAGGCACTGAGCTGAAAGATGAGGTCAAGCAGGCTCTAAGGGCCTCTAGGTGTGCCTGAAGTGCCTGGTTGGTCTGACGCTGCTGTTGGGCTTCCACCTCCAACCTAGATACATGGAATAACAAAAAACAACCATTAGCCTGAAAGAATGAAACATTGCATGCTTTACTTTTACTTAACTTCAGAACCTTAAAAATTCTGGATTTACAATGAAGTGTTTCTTTCAGAATTTTCCTCAGGTAGGAGTAAGTGGTTAAAGTATATTTAAATATATATATATATATATATATATATATATATATATATATATATATATATATATATATATATATATATATATATATTACAATGAAGTGTTTCTTTCAGAATATTTATCAGGTAGGAGTGAGGGGTTAAAGTATATATATATATATATATATATCCTATACATGTATATTTTGAAAAAATTCCAAAAATTATATAAATCAGCTAGTGACCTGAATGGTACCTCTTTTCTTTTCAAATTTGCGGAATTTTTGTTTAATTTTTTACATTTCAAAAACAAAAGTGGTAAAAAAAATATATATATAAAGAGGATCTGACCTCTCAACAGCCTGCCTCATGTTGTCTGTGTGTTTACTGAGTATTGCATTTTGTTCCTCCAGCTCTGTGGTTTGTTTCCTCAGCTGGCGCAGCTCAGCATCTCGAGCTGATCATGTTTGTAGAAGAAGGGCATAAAGTTATGACAAAACAGCAAGTGATATAATGGGATATCTCAGTCTGCATGTGATTTTTTATACCACTATTCTGATAGGGCTTTGGTAATGCTTATTGTAGGGGATTGACAATTGAAAAAAAAAATTGTTAGTGAACAAAGAGATATAATGATTAATCAGGAAACAAGTAAAGTTTCCTTCTGAACTTGTAGGGGGAGATTTAACCCTTGGAATAAAAATCCGGATCTTCAACACACTAGTAAAACCTGTTTTACTCTATGGATCTGAGACATGGAGAACAACTGCTATAAATAAGAAGAAAATACAATCATTTATAAACGCATGCCTCAGAAAGATCCTGCAAATTCGCTGGCCTAAAACCATCAGAAATGATGTCCTATGGCCACGGACAAATCAACTGCCAGCTGAAGTAGAGATCCTCCAGAGAAAATGGAAATGGATTGGGCACACACTCAAGAAGCCTGTATCCAGCATAACAAGACAGGCCCTCACCTGGAATCCACAAGGCAGGAGGAAGAGAGGCAGACCAAGAAAGACCTGGAGAAGTGACCTGGAAGAAGACACAAAGAAGATTGGATACACCTGGGAACAGTTGGAGAGACTAGCCCTGGGCAGAGACGTCTGGCAAGCTCTTGTCAGCGGCCTATGTCCCAGTAGGGACGACAGGCAAACCTTACCCAACTGTAGGGGGCAAGTGAAATAGAGCTCATTGGCCTTGGCATATGAAGGGATAGTGTGGTCAGCACTATGCCCAGCAGTCTTTACTTTCCCGACATATGTCAGGTACCCATCAGGGTTGGGTGGACTCAGAGATGTGCTACAACTCTAGCCAGGGGTCCAAACACGAGATTTTCTGGTTAGCAGTCAAACGCTCTACCATTCGACCAATCAGAACACAAAGAGGCACTGATTTGTAAGGCAACAAAGAGCACTTATAAAGTTAAAGAAGTTTGCTAAGCAGATTATATTATAAATTGTAAATTATGAAAATATAGACAGTAATACCTCATTTATTTTGGGAGTTAAGGCAAGGGTCAGCAACTTTTTTGAGATGGAAGAGCCAAAAGCTACAATCTACATAATTTCCACATTTTTAAAGAGCGACTAAAATGTTTATGTGCACTTTGCTAGTGGAAAACATGTAACCATTGCCACGGGGCTGGCCACAGCACAGTTGTGAGGCTGGGGCTAACGCCCAGAGTTTCTTCCAGCCATCACTTTTAGTGTCGTATATTGACATCTAAAGATTAAAGGGCTATCCAATGAGTTATTAGGTGAGATATGAAAAACCAACCGGTAGTGGTTAACTTTAACTTTAAGCATTACTTTCACCATTTGAACATTTTAAATCATTACATTCAAATTTTGTTCAGATTTTTTGCTATTAGTATGAATACCAAACATTAATTGCTATCTGCAAATTCCAAATAATAAACAAACTAGCATGTCACATTAAACAGATAAATCTTGAGAAAAATCAATCAACACAACCATCACCGTAGTTACAAGCAAACAAGCAGAGTATTTTGTATTCCATACAAAGCACTCACCTTTGTTATGGTCCAGAAACTCCTCTGTAAAAATTGGGATGTCAAAAGTCCCAGATTCCTCCTCCTCCACCCCATTGCCTGTCACCTGCATGCCTCCCTGTGTGTCTGAGTTCTCCACATCATCTGAAACCACATTCAAAGTCTTAAAACAGAAGCTAACATGATTTCCTGGGGCTTGGAAAAATCCCACTAGGTGATCAAAGATGAATTCACATGATTTTTTTCTGTGGCTCTTTGGATTAAGTATTAGGTTAAAGTAGTGATACAAGCAAAAAATTAATTTTTCAATGCCCAAACCAATCACTGAAGTCCACAATTGATTTTGAAATGGCCGACCCAATCAATGAAGTGCAACATATCTTTTTAAATGACTAACTCAATCACTGAAGTGCAACATTACTTTTTCAATGGCCAACTCAATCGTTGAAGTGCAACATTGTTTTCAAACTAATCATTGACATACAACATTGTTTTTCCAATGGCCAATCTACTCTATCCTACAAATCCTCATCTCTCCTGCTTTACTCCCCCCTTACCTCACCAACCATCTGCCAATGATGGAATGACCACATGTTAATTAGAGGCTCACTGGGAGGACCTACAACAGGGGAATTTAGAAGGACATACTCATTTTATCTTGCTCTGTTAACCGTAACTATTAAATTCAATAATAAATATTTTAGATACATATTCATGGGCAGTAGCGTAGCGAGGGGGGGGGGGGGGGGGAGAGACGACGACATATGTCCTCGGGCGCCGACCTTAAGGGGCGCAAAAATGGGTTGGAAAAATAAATCGAAAGTTTGAGGGGGATGCAAATCGAAAGTTTGAGGGGGGGGGGTGGGGGGGGGGGGGGTGGGGTGCAAATCGAAAGTTTGTTCCCGGGCGCCGGGAAGAGTCGCTACTCCTCTGTTCATGGGCTAGTTTATTTTCATTTAATTCAAATGATTATTACTTATGTCTATATTGGGTGTTGCTATTCATCCTCACATGAAGTTTACTCAGTATATTAAACATCAACATAATGACACCATCTAGTATCAAGTGAACTATACTTTCTCCGGACACCAGGGATACTCAGAAAATGTAAACACAAGAGAGGAACTAACCTTTGACCTTCTTGTCATACTGTTGCCTAAAAGTCTTGTAGGAATCTGTTTTCTGATAAGCCTCCAAATCTTTCATGTACTTTTCTTTCTCACGTTCAGCGTCATCTAGGTACCTCTGTGGACAAAATAAAGGGACACTAATCACTGGTCTCCTGGAGGAAATCTGTTAGTCTAAACAAGTAAGGAGTAGGACATTATCCCTAAGTCAATTACCCTGCCATCCACACAAAAAAACTGGATCAGGAAATTATTCAAAAGTCAATTACCCGGTCGTCCAAAAAAAACCAGGGCAGGACAATTACCCTGCTATCCAAAATAACTGGAGCAGGAAATTATTCCAAATTCAATGACCATGTCGTCCAAAAAAACTGGAGAAGGACATTACCCACCTACCAATTACAAATCAACCCTTAAACCTGATCAAAACATAAATCTAACTCTAAGAGCTATAACTAAGGTTAGGGTAAAGACATTTTCTAGAAGGCAATCATCTTATTCTACACTTTGCTGATACTCTTATGTCAATCAACAGGATGACTAGGCAAAGTACAGAATAAAATCAGTTTATACTCTGCCCACTATAGACAATCTGTGGAATTCTACATAATACTAGTATCAATCAAACACTATATTATTCAAACATGCCATCCCATTTGTAAGTAAGAAAAAACAACGCCATCCTAGAGAGAAAACTAGAATCTACCTGTTTTTCATGCTGAGCTAAATTAGACCACTCGTTTCCTAACTGCTTAGACATCTCGGCAAAAGAAAGGTTGGGCTTCTCATGTCGAACTTGCTCTCTTCTTTCAGTCAGAAACCTCAGGTAACCAGACAGTGGCTGCTTGGGTGCGTTCATGTCCTTCTTCCTTTTCTTCCCTTTAGTCCATCCACCTTTTCTTTTAATTTGCTGCCGGGATAAGAAGATCAGTTTTGAAAATCATTTTTGATTTCTGTTCTAACAGTAAATCTTGTCCTATCTACTCTATTATAAGTATTTTTTTCTTTATATTCATTATACACATTTCTTAACAGTAAATCTTGTCCTATCTGCTCTATTATAAGTATTTTTTTCTTTATATTCATTATACACATTTCTTAACAGTAAATCTTGTCCTATCTACTCTATTATAAGTATTTTTTTCTTTATATTCATTATACACATTTCTTAACAGTAAATCTTGTCCTATCTACTCTATTATAAGTATTTTTTTCTTTATATTCATTATACACATTTCTTAACAGTAAATCTTGTCCTATCTACTCTATTATAAGTACATTTTTCTTTATATTCATTATGCATATTTCTTAACATGAGTAACTTATATTATCTGAGTTCAAGACTTTTTTAAAATGACAATTTATTTTATGATACTTAAACATGCTCAATCAAGCAATATAAAGGAACTAATATATTTACCTCTGAATGCATTTCACTTGAAGAAGGGATGATTGAAAGGCCTGAAAAAAAATCTTATTTTTTTCAAACATATGTATTTAAGCTAAATTAATTTTAAAATGTATTTTGTATGTATATATATAAATATATTTATAATCTATTTATATATATACATATATTTATTCACAATAAAGTTCAATATAAATGATGTCAAATATGAAAAGAGTATTTTTATTAACACATGTTGTAAAGTTAACAAAAAACAGTTTGTACAGTATAATATTGCAATCATTAGGTGAGTGAACGGAACTTTACTAGTATATCAAAAGAATATAAGGGCTTTACCATGTGAAATTTCAGAGTGACTAACACTACTTAAAAATGGACCTTCATTGGACAATCTGTTAAAGACAGAAAAGAACAGTTTATGTAAAAAAACTAAAGCATTTTAATATTATAACTCTTGATAAACACTTTGTAGTCACTATTCCAAACAATTTTTTAGCACATAAAAAGTTTTCAGACACATTTTTTTATCACAAATTAAAAAAATATATATATCACACATTGTTTGGTTATTTGAACAAAAATCTCAAGTTTGGATCTCAGTTCTGACTTGTGACTGTACTACATTCCTGAGTCCACCATGCTATGATAGGTACCTGACTTACATTTGGGAAATTAAAGGTGGCTGGGCATAGTGCTGAGGCTGAACACACCATCCATTTTATGCCAAGGTCAAGAAATATATGAACTCTACTTCATCTGCCCAATGGATCACTAGATCTAAAGAGGAATCTTACTATATTACACAATGCAATGTGTGGTGACATCATATACAGTTCTACCACATTAAAGCAAAACACCACACAAGTGGTATAGCTCGTATGTTTGTGAAAGGGAATCAACCCTGACACTATTTACCTTGCAGCATTAGTGGTTGACGGCTTGTTAACAATAATATGTATAGACCTATGTATATATTTGTACAATATATGTAAAAAAGACGGTTGGTGGAAAAAAATTAATAGTGTCCAATACATACATAACATTGCACATGATTATTATGATACAGCAATATGATACATAACATTACATATGATAAAGCAAACACTAGATTTACCCTGCATCAACTGTTAGGTCATTGCTCTCTTTGGAGACATCATCATCAAAAGTGTCGAAGTTGGTTAAGTTTAAATCCATTTTGTACAGATGAAACTTGGTTCCTCATCCACACTGATTTCTCATTTATTTGTGTTGGTCTAAACAATTTAAAATATGTTAATTAGTTTATAATTTATCTAATTAGGCAGTTGAAAATTTCAATTGATTAGCCAAACCAGACATTCTGACACTCATCATAGCCAGTCAATGTTTCAATAATATTTCAATCATTTGGTAAACGTTTGCAAGTAATAGTCACCAACATTTTTATTTAGGCTAATTAATAATTAATAAGTTATTTTAAGTAATTATAATAATTAGTAGGCTACAGTTACAGTCCGCAACAGTACAGTTGGCAACAGTAACTTGTAATAAAACTTTCCCCACTTACTGAGATGAGTATGCCTAACTGATTTTCAGTGAATTAAAAAGAGATTTTTGTGTTGATTAGAATTCAATATTTCTGTCGTCAGTAGACAACCGCTTATTCTTTTCACTCTAGAGCATCATCTAAAATTAGAATCTTGACAATAAGCCATGGAAAATGACATAGATCTAGATCTACAATCTAGTCTTTTAATTTTAAGCAACAAATACAAAACAAAATTTAACATCATGCCTTATCTTATTGTTAACCTTTGGCCTTTGGCTTTAACTTTAGCCCTATGACCTTTGACACACATCGTCCTTAGAAGCCGGCTAAAAAGCGAAGATTGATGGATGTTCCCTTGAAAATATTCATTTATCCTTATTCCTTAGCAAAAAATTCAAAAGATTCTGATAAACAATATTTTCTTCAGTAATAAATACGTTTGCTAAGCTTAGCCTTACCAGCCGTAGAAACAATAATAAAGCCATGCGACTATGTTTTGGTTTTCAATTCTCCGTAGAGGGGAACTTGTAATTCCTTCAAAATGGCGAGTTGTAGCGGCGTATGAATACACAGTTATTTTTCTCTGCTGGTCATAAAATTTATTTTAATTATAACCTGATTCGTTTAAACTAAAAATCAATACATTTTATATTTTTATTTAACTAAATTACATTTAAGAAGTTAAGCTTTTTAAATACATTAAATTAAAATTAATTTTGTATAATAATTATAACAAGATACCACAACATGTAGCGGAAGAACAATAAATTTGATGGTTGTTTGGTCGTTGAGGTCATGGTAAATTTATGCAAATTACCCTGGCTTAGTCCTAAGCAATGTTTTGAAGATAAAATGGAACGGATAGGTCTTGCTGGTTAAACGAAACAAAGGCGTCTAACGGATACGTACAAAACAGGAAAAACGTTAACATCGGAAAGTGGAGTACATTTTTTTTTTAAATTGGTAAGTAGATTATTCAGGACAATATTTTCTTTGTTTTAACTTAAAACATCTTTCTGGTTTATTTCCAGTATTTTTTTTTCTCAGATAAAAATAAAATTGTTATAGTTAGACTGCTAGGCTATGCGCTATGAATCTGCTATGTAAATCGTAGGATTATCATTGATACAACTGTGCTTCTGGTGCTTGCCTGTTCACTGCTGTGTAAGCCTACAATAGTTTGCAGACATTGTTTATTCTAGATGGTTATGAATATGAGTGTGTTATCCTATCGATCGGCATGTTGCTAAAGACAGGTCTTGCGTTTTTTCCCCACCACGCTTTCAATGAGTCACTGACAAAGGCTTCATGTTTCATTTAGATCTAGATCTAGTATTGAAGTGTATTAATAGTAATCTATTTATTATCTATCAATACCATTGCCTATCTAGTGATATTTTGAATTGTTTCATTAATAAAAACTGGGAATTCGAGGTAATGTAAAACATAATTTGTAATTCGTTTTTACTTTAATACGATCCTTGTTTTTAAGCTGGTGAGTCTTACAGTCTGCCAGCTAATCACTTCTTACACTTGTTTATTATTACGTTACACTGGTGATGAGGGGTGCGCCGTCCTACCGTCGAAGGCAGCACTTTCTTTCATCCACCACCCTCCCTACCCCCCTCCCTTTCCTGTGTGTACCGGCGCTTGAACAACCGAACCGTTTTATGCTGTTATGCACTGGGCCGGTCTCGTGCATTCAGCAGATGTCGGGAAGCGTGTGGCGCGCTGCGTAGAATAAAACTCCGTTAATATAGGACGCACGCAATCAATGAGTTCGCCTGTGTCGTATTGTATTTTTAGTTGTGCAATATAAGTATAAGCCACCCCACCCCCCCCCCCCTTAAAAATGCGTAATCATTTCATTTATTTAAAAATCAAAGAACAATTCATATTTAATATAATCTGTTTTTTTTTTAAACTGTAATATAAATAGGGGGATTACACATTAAAAAGACGCTTATATATAGATCTATAAGCAAAAAATACTGTACCAGAAAATAGCAGTAAAATTTAATATCGATTCTTGAGTGTAACTTCCTTTTACAATTTGAAACTAAACCTCGTTTATCGTTCGGAGAGGGGAGGTGTTTATATTATGTAATGATGTGCTACGTTGGAGAGGAGGGGTGGGGGTGTAAGTAATGTCACGCGGGATATAGTATGTCTATTTCAAAATAATACACGTTTAGAAAAATAAAGCACGTTAAATGTTCGGTAGACGTAAGTTTACATTTAAGCCAGCAATTTGTGACGTGACTGTAGAGAGGGGGCATCAGTGTTTCTTCCAGACGTTCGGGGGGGGGGGGGGGCGTAGACTCCTCCCCCTGGAAGAAACACTGGGGGCATGTGAGTGGTCTGTCTTTTTAGAACCAAAATGAGGGTGGATTTTAAACAGAAGAAAATTACTTGACGCAATTGATGAACTTTGGGGTTTTAAATGACTTTGGCTCTAACCCGTAATTAGTTTGAATCTCGGACTGACATTAAAGTATGTTATTTTTTAATTAAAAATCGACGTTTAAAACTCACATTAAAGGCTGTTCTTTTTAATTAAATATCGGCATTTCTAGACTGTCTGGAAAAAGGAATATTTTTGCTAACGCCTTATAACTATGTTTATTAACGAGTTAGAATGACCTACGATAATTTAAAACAAAAAACAAAACAAAAAACACCACCATTAAAATATTGTTTCGTTTTAAGATTTTCATATAAGGGGCTACATCTGTGATGGTTTGGTATTGATTTTAATTAAGGTACGTCCATAAATGACGTCACACTCGTAGAGGGGGGGGGGGTCCATAATTTTGTGACGGTGTATGATGAGGGGGGGGGGGGGGTGTTCAGATATTATAGCGTCACACTTTTGCATTATAAAAAAACAATGCTAGAAAACGAATTTTAGCCATAATTAATCGTTTTAGAAAACTGTTTTAATAAATTGAAATATAAATTGATTCTCTGTTGATAGAGTTCAGACAAGATTTTGGAAAAAAAATATCGATGTTTTAAGAAAAAATATTTAACTTCCTTTTTTTTTTTGGGGGGGGGGGGGGGGGACGACCGGGGGGTTGTAGGCTTACAAACCTCCCGACAAATCAGATTGGCTCTTGATTTAAGAATAAAAAGGGTAGGGGGGGGGGGGTTTATAGAATAACGCAATACAAATCGGCATCGGTGATTACGAATAGTATTACCCTAAAAGAGTTAAGGCTTATATAAGCTAGTGGTGAAAACAACTAGAATATAATCATCTATAACAATTGTTATTCTTTTGAATAATAACAATAACGCTAAGAAAATGATGAAGTGGTGTTCTTATTACAAATCCTTTTTTTAAAATTCATGTCTAAGCATAGATATGATGTCACACTTGTCCATCGTAGGAATTGTATTGGATACAGTGTTTCTTTCATGCATCTCTTGGGGGGTGGGGAGGGTATGTTAGGTATGTTGGCTACAAAATGGCAGTAGTGGATTATAATCATTGCAAAGCAAGGATCTTTATTTCCCAATAGCGGAAATAATCATTTATTTTTTTCCTGCATCATGAATACTTGAACTTGTCTCAATTCTGTCTCGCAACGTATCGATGCCGAAATTCATTTTTCGCATTACCGGTGGGCGGTGAAATGGAATCGATTACAGGAGACGATGTATTGTACAACTACCCTTTCAGCCTGTCTGGTCTTTGAGCTATCTCCCCTGTTAAATGTCTGCAATACGTCACTTCAACAATCGTTGGGTGTCAACTGGTTTTGTTAGCGCCAGGAAAAAAAGTTTAATTTCACTTCCTGATCTTAAAAAAAAAAAAAAATTGGAATTACCTATTTTTTTTTACCTCAACAAAATGATTGAAATGTATTGATTCGTGTTAGTTACGGATCCCTGCGTTTGTTTTGATATCACGTATGTTTTACTTCCTGGTGAGGTTTATGTGGGTTATTCATGTATGACGTTGACACGGAGTAGAGGGGGGGGGGAGTGTCCCGAAATAGAAGAGATCGAGGACCATTGTGGACATATGTGGGTAGTGTTCTTTCGTGTCCCCCCCCCTCTCCCCCCCCCCCTGTATGTTAAATGTAATGAGACTGCGTGGTCGAGTGGTAGAGTGTTCTACTGCTAACCCTACCGATAGTTTCGAGTTCGGATCCGTAGGACGTCTTCAAGTCCAGTCTGCTCCAGAGGCGTAGCGACCCCTCCCGGCGCCCGGGGATAAACTTTCAATTTGCCCCCTCCCCCCTCCCCTCATATATTTTTTTATATTTATAATTCAAAATAGCAGCTAAAATAAACTTATTTTGGCGCCCGCGTGGTCGGCGCCTGGGGACATATGTACCCCCCCCCCCCCCCGTCGCTACGCCTCTGCTTTCTGATGGGGAGAGTACCTGACTCAAGTGTGGGAAATAAAGGCAGCTTAGCATAGTACTGACATACCTTCATATACCTAGGTCCAGAAAACATATGAACCCTCGTTCATCTGCACAATGGATCGCTAGATCTAAAGGGGAATCTTATATATATATTTTTTACTTACATTTTATAATACTGTACAAAACATAATGCACGAAATAACTAACCCAACCTTAATATTAACCTTTGTTCCCCCTCTCTACTAAAACACAACCTCACATTAACTTGCATTCTTCTACAGCAACAATC